CATAACCTTTTGAACCATGTCACGTGATGTGAAGTTCTGCCGTCGCAGCACAGCATAGAGGTTGTGCGGGCAGTTGCACACTCTTGGGTTATGTACTCTTGGTACTACCAAGAGTACATGAAAACCGTTTTCATGTACTCTTGGTACTACTCTACCTTCTAGGTTTCACTCCACCAAGGTGATTTGGCTTTTTTTAACATGGTTCTAAAATATCGTTTTTCAGCAACTCCTAGGATCGCAACTGCCAAATCAATAACAAGGACAATTATGGCAAGTGGACGTGCTATATCCGTCATGCCAGTTGTGTCCAAAACTGGGAATGATCCCACTTTGGAAAGTGTCTTGAATCACGTCCTACTTTCATAGTATTCTCAGTATTCGAATAATTGGTGTGTCATTTTCTAACAAATTTGTAAGATGGCATCACGAACCGAGATTCAGTCACCAATGCTCTGAAGTTGATATGCATCACTTCACGAAGTTCAGTGAGTGTCAGTACAGTAGAGTCGCGCGCTGAAGAACGCGGAGCCCAAGAACGTCCAGCCTGAAATTCTAAGAAACCCACAGCCTAAAGGCTAAAGCTAAGAACGGCGGTGTTGGTTTTCTGGCAGCTTGCGGAATACATAATATGATCCAGTACGGATTGTTTCTACTTAAAGTAAGAACGTGCTATAAGAACGCAGCCAGATTGCAGAAAAAATAAGAACGTCCCAGGCTAACCCCTTGGAAATAACGTTCTTGGGCGCGTGACTCTACTGTAGATGAAAAATTAACTTGTCATCGTGTGCTACGAAAGGCGGTGAATTTGAATTTGTAATTAGTGGCTGTGTCAGACTGTGGAATTGGATAGGTAGCATAGCACCACAGCGGGTCTTTTCGTTCTCACAGAGTGTATTCAGTGATCGATCTACTACTCTTCATGGTCTCCAGTGATGGCAAGACGGCTTGACCTCGTCCAATGGTCCTACGGAAGTAATGCCCTGCCCTGCTCGTCCATTCAGGGGCTGATTTGACAGATTTTACACAAAATTGTAACACACCCACCAGCATTTATACCGACGTGGCACGGACAATGACATAATATACACCAAACTTTCTGGACGATGTTGATCTACGATAAACTGGCTCTCATTTGCCACCACCTACATGTACATGATTGTGTGTTTCGATACAGCCATCGTGAGCAGAGAAACAGCCAGAACAAAAGCAAATTTTACACATTTGTTAAAAAATGGCCAAATGGCCAAAAAAAAATGCCAAATGGCCAAATCATCTCGTGCTGTAGTCCAAAACTGTAAGCTTCACACCGCAGATACATGTATGGCTATTTTGAGAAAAAGTGATATTCGTCACCCTAGTCGAATCTTCCTTCCACTTTAGTTCTAGTGTCCCTGATTTAGCGGGAGGGGCCAGGTATGGAGGATGGCCGAGGTACATATGTAGTTCTGATGGCGACAAGTAACATGAAATGGTTGAAAATGTGCCACAGTCAGAACAGTCGGATGAAAGCTAAACCAGAAAATTTGCAAAAATCGAAAGGAGCTTGAATATCGCGCTCAGATCATTTGCGCGGACCTGAAAGCCTCTTCTTGTTGTTTTTCCTTCTACATGTAGCTGCTTGCAGCATGGTAAACGACAGTACCATGGCCTTTTTCAGATTTTCATTGTACCTATTTGTAGTACCTCCCGGGATCAGTATTTCCACTTGAAATAATATCCACCCAAATGCCTCATTCTTAGCATTCTTTTATTCGCTTCCATGTAATTGGGCTTATTGCCCGTTTGGTATTGCGAATTCAAATAAAAAGAAGAAGAACAACAACAACAACAACAACAACAACAACAACAACAACAACAACAAAGCCAACGAAAACCAGGACAAGAGCAAGGACAATCTACGAAGGTTGTGCGTATCAGCCCTGCTGCTAGAGGTACGGAGTTCCCTCAAGAGTTTCTGACCATCTCTACTGGAAAGTTATTTTGTGAAGTTTATCAGCTTGTAGTGATGCCAAAAAGACAAAACGTCTTTTGAAATGCTTGGTTGGTTTCTTTTGGTTGGTTTCTTTTAATTTGCACAATAAACGGGAACTAGGCCCAATGATAGGCGAATGGATAAGCCGCATTTAGAAAAGAGAGGACAGGACTTAGAAAATTACGAAAGAAGAAGTATCTGACAAAGGAGTCAAGCGAGTATTAGGGGTGACAGGGTGGTCGAGGAGAGCTAGGGGGAGGGTTAGTCTGAGCAACAATATGGTAGGCAACTTATGCTAAACGTGTTCTGTCTTGCTATGGTCCGAACGTCATCCGGCAGCAGGTTCCAGAGTGCAGATCCTGCGACGGACGGCCGAGAAGCGCCAGAGCGAGTGGAGGATGGCTGACTGAGCAGACCACTGGACCTCTGATGACGGGTTCTCCTGCCAGCAGATCTGACGAACAGCACAGACAACGTGGCACTAGCTTTCCCGTGAAGGCACCTCCAGACAAACACTAGTAGCTTGCGCTTGCTGAGTTCGCCTATCCGGTACACAATGGTACAAGCCGTGCTGCACCAGTAGGGGGTGCACTGTTGTGTAGGGTGGGTGGCCGTCGATAGCTCGGATAGCCCTGTTCTGTAGCAGACCCAGGCGATCAAACTGGCGACCAAGGAGCGCGGGGAAGAAGGCATTACTGCCATAGACTATGTCAGGGATGACAACAGCCTGGACGAAGAGACGCCGTGCAGATCGGGATAGGGAGCGACGAGCTCGCCACAGCGCACCAATCTTACGGGTAGTCTTGCTTGGATTCGGTCGACTCGAGCGTCCCATGAAAGCTTACTATCAAGTACAACACCGAGGTATGTAGTAGTCGATGCTGTTGGAACGGCTACTCCACGACACTGGACAGTTACGAGAGGGTTGTCCACCTGTCGGTGAGGAAGAAAGGTCACAGCACGGCTTTTGGTAGGGTTGAGGACAAGACCCCTCGCCTGTAGCCACACAGCTAGGTTGCCTTGGTGACTGCTGTCGTAAGCGTAGCAGAGACAGCCTCAACAGAACTCTGCGAGGAATACAATGCTATATCGTCCGCAAACTGGATGCTGGGTACAGGGTGCAGGACGGAGGGGACGTCGCTGGTGTAAATGGAAAATAGAACAGGAAGGACCTAGCACAGATCCTTGTGGTACACCACACGTGCAAGGAGTGGCCTGACTCGTGGTTGGCCCAATGCAGACCATCTGCTCTCGCGCAGTTAGGTAGCTGGCAAACCAGGTGAGGGCCGATCAGCACACACCGACGTCAAACAGATCGACAATGAGCTGTGTGTGGCGGATTTTGTCGAATGCTTTGGACATGTCCAATGTGCAAAGTCCGGTCACATTTCCCCTGTCCTTGGCAGCGAAGAGACTGTCAATGAGAAGGCAGAGGGCATCCTCAGTGGAGTGGTGCTGACGGTAGGCAAATTGGGTATTAGGGAGGCACTGGTTAGTTCAAAGGTGGCGGACAAGTTGGCGTTGGACGATCTTCTCAAGTAGTTTAGAGATAATGGGGAGTAAAGACTCAGGTCGATAATTATTGGGTAGGGAGGAGTTGCCGGATTTATACAGAGGCACGACTGAAGCCAGTCTGAACGCTGAGGGCACTACACCAGTCCGGAGCGAAGCACAGAATAAAACGGCAAGTGAATACGCCAGAACATCAGGACATTCCTTCAAAACGGATCCTGGCTTCGGAACGACATTGCCGCAGTAAGCAGCAGAAGGTGAACGCTACGATCCCTCAATCGACTTGGTTAGTCTCATGGAAGCAGTAGAGGGATACTGAACATATTATAGATGGAAGAAGCTTCACCAAGCCGCTTACAAGTCTGCTGCATGCAGCTGATGTTTCCAATAGTGTTACTCATCTGGCATGGCGGAGAGATCAAGAAGACCTCCATTGGCAGAAGGCTGTGAAGATTGTGCTCACCATCCCACCCTCATCTGCAGCTCCTCAATGAGTATTCTTCTCCTTGAATCGGCAATGCCATACCAGCAGCAATGTCACATTGGGAGGTCAGATCGAATTAAGTTAAGCTAATGTTGCAGTGCAGGGAAACTGAGTAGGGAGTTGTGCGCTTGCAATACTGCACGGCGAGAGGCAGAACACAATGTCAGAGTCTTGATTTTGTTTACCCCAACACATGTGCATTCACAGTCATTCAATAGAACTGATATTGAAACCCGAAATGCATGCAAGTGCTTTTATATAATAGTCAATTGCCAGACTGTCATACGCTGCAGCCGATTCTGAATTTGTGACGTTCTTTTCGATCCTTTTTACCAACAATTTTCACTTCCGTTACGAGCATTTTAAAGTGCAGAACGAGCATTCAAACTAGCATTATTTGATGTAATAACGAGAAGTGCTGAAAGCATTATCACAATATCAGCAAAACAAACGAGCATTAGCCGCCGATGCCTAAGATTCATTGGCATAATTCCGAGCAGCATAATGTAGCAATATACTAGCATTAATCACTGGCATTATTTGGGAATGGAAAGCATAATTCAGCAATTCACGGACCATAATCCGCCAAGGGCTAATGACGACTCCCTGGTTAGCACCACCGAATTACTTGCGTCAGAAAAAAACTCGTCTGGACGTCGAACGTCCGAACGACGCTACGTGAGTCGACGTCAGCTACCAGTACATGGCCGAGCTGTGTGCCGTATTCTGGTACTAGTATTCGACCAGTAAAATAGATCTCGTGCCAATATGCTTTTAATAGTTTTATGAACGTGCACGTGAGTTGGCCTCAGCTAACGAGCGTGCATTTCCACGCCAAATGCGCGGTGCTGAACGTAATCTTTGATGGGCCAAAATTTGGCGTCGAAACGCACGTTTGTGACAGGCCGACTCCTGTTCATACGTACATAAAAACAGTTGGGTACGAGATCTACTGCACTGGTCGAATACTATGAATACGGCACAGCTCGGTGCACTTGTCAGTCGCGAGCTACACATGTAGCTGCTGCCAGAAATCGAACTGTTCGCTCTCGCCTCTCGACAGGAAGTCGTCCCCGATACGGCGCACAACTGGTTGAGAGTGGCCCGGAAAGGATAGAACTTTCATCTCCCGTCGATCAGGGTCGATTGGCAATGCAAGACAGGTAGTTGTGCAGGAGATGGTCACCGTTAGTAAACGTTAGGTCTGCCTATCAACGTCGAATGGAAGAAGTGACACACCAAACAGCCGCTTGTTGAAGCGCTTCTGCCAAGTGTTCTAGTTCTCCTTCAATAATCCTTCTGCTCGTTCAGTCTGTGACGTCTTTCTCTCGTTCTAAATCTTTAGTCTAGGCGAAGTCGAGCACCTCGTCTTGACATCTAACGGGGGCCGATTTGTGCGTGCGTGTACGCCGACCTCCAACCCCAATGCATGCACGCACACAGAAGCACTCTCGACGAGAAAGACTTCGTAGTTTTTTTGCCTGCGTCGAGGCAAGAGAACAACTCTCTGAGCTGTGAGTTATCTCAATCTATCCAGCCGTAGACGGGAACAAGACAGGTGTTGGGCACAAGTGTGTCTCCTTTGAATAACGCTACACGACCAAGAGCTGTCCCGATGGTCACCGACTGACTTGACGTTCACTGGCTGAACATTAATTTTCTCAGTGGCTGCATCCTGCCATCACGACACCACGTTTCGGTTTTGTTTCTTCTTCTGCGCTGCGTGTGCAGCGGTCGGTGGCCGGTCGGAGAGAGCGGCCTTCGACACTTTCGTCAAATACAGCCATCGTGAGCCGTAGGGTGATACCTAACTGCCCACTGCGGGCGAGATCCAGTGCTCAGCGATTAGTGCCGCACGCAAGAGCAGAGATATCACGGGAAGTTTTCCAGAGCAGACGCTCAAGATCAGTTGGGAAAGGCATCCATTATAGTAAAAATATAGATTAGTTGCCTCGGAATCGGATGTGGAAAGTTTCGAGACGAAGTGTCATCTTGAGCTAGCTTGGTTACTAGTAGTATTCGACACGAGAGATAAGTGTGACCGTGGTGTCGACCGTGGTGGTGTCCAGATGTGTGCGTGTCGACCTTCTATGTCCTGTGTGAGCTGTGCTGCAAAGCTGCCGACCCCTCTACTAGCTCTACGTTCTTCTTTCTGTCACACACACACAGTGAGTAGTTCTGGGCGGTCACAGTAACGCGCGGGGGGTCATTGGGCACTAGCCAACTGAACAGATAGCTCGCGCACTTGCTGTACCTAACTGACAGTCCTACTTGCTGCATTCTGCAGTCGTACACGCGCTTGATCGCGCGGAGATGTTACTTGGCCTGTTGTGGAGTGGAACGCTTGTGTTACTTTGAAGTGGATCAGAGAGGTGCGGAGAAGGAAAGGTTCGACCGTCCTTCGTACCCTGTGAGTGGGTGCAGCAGAACTCTGCAGAAAACCACTGAGCAGAGAGTATAGAGTAAGCAATCGGCACTCATCGCCTGGCGGATTTCTGCAGGTCGTCGCTTATGACCGCCGTAGAGAGAGAGAGAGAGACAGAGACTGAGAGAGAGAACCCCGAATACACTACTAGTGCACTACTGTGCAGTCATCGTTTTGGCATTGTGTATCCCCGGGTGACGGCTGGTAAGGAATTCGTCTCCGCGCGTGGCTGATGGCTGGTGGCGTCGACGGTGACAGCTGAGGAAAGCCTTCCATCGGTGCTGGGTCTGGACTGACTGAAAGGTGAGCGATTGGAATGGCTGTGTGGCTTTTTGTTTTACTCCAGCTCTCTAGCTCTCTGTATTTGGCTGTGTGCGTTCGCGGGAACATGGTTCAACATGAGGCCTGAGCACCGACCAACTCAGCGGGAAGACACGCTTCCATTGTGTAGTGACTAGTGGTCAACGTTCCTCTTGCCCAATGGAGTGTTGAGAATCTTGTAGTGTTTGATAAGTGCGTGCCACAGTTTCGTTTGCTGAGTGCTAAAATTCACAATGCGTTGATTGATTGGACACACGCAGTCGGTGTTACCTTGATCGTGTGCAAAATAGAACCCAATGAGAAATTAGTACTGCGATCTCTTACTGTTAGCTGGTGCAAGTCTTCGAGGTGGTGTTGCGCTAATAAGCGCTACCCAACAGGGTGTTGTGAAACCTTCGCTGGATAATGTGGATTGCAAGGTGAAGTACATTTGCCCCCTGGATGGCGCGGGGCAGTTCGTACTTGGGAGGTAAAAATTGAGTATAGAACAAGCGCTAGCGGATCGTCCCGCGAGGACTGGTGAGAATCCATCTGGCAAGGGTATGTAATTGTTGCGGGTTCCCAACCTTGAAAAAATGTTTTGGGCCTGTTTTGGTGGAGTGTATGTGTGTAGGGTCCGATGATGGGAGCGTGCATGCTGGCCCTCAGTTGACAATAGCAGTTTACTAATCAGTGATTGATCAACGAAATTTCCGCTTCCTTGCAGCTATTTTCATCGTCTTTTGTACCGTGCGTACCTCTGGTGACCGCGCTTGTTCCAAAGGACGACGACTATTAAAATTTAGCTAGCGATTGATTGATCGAAGACTTTACAGAGGGGGGTTTAGGGAGAAGAGAGGAACTTCCAAAGTTTATCATGGCCGATCGAACGTGATGTACATGTGTAACGATTTTGACAGGCCTTCACCATGCGGAAATGATCCGTGGACCCCGGTGAGCAGTGTCAGCGCTTGGCTGTGAAAGGTTCAAGAGCTCTCTAAAAAAACTAGCGACTAGTTCAACGATCTATACATGGCCGAGAGATGCCCATCCACACCCTCACCATACCCTGGAAAGATATTGGTGATGCCTATCGAAAACGTTCCAAGTAAATAATTAGTTGGTGCTGAGTTTCACGCCTTGCAGATGTGCGCGCGATGCTCGTCGTTGACACTCGCGTATTGTGTGACGAAAACTGACGTTCTCGCGGCTCTGGGGTCGTTGGTGTACGCACAAGTGCAACACTTGTTTTTTCTGCAAAGTGTCCGACACACCTTTGTGCGACATGTGTTCTTGCGGTGTCCTTTCGTTGGTATAATAAGGAGGTAGAGTGCGCATGTTGTATTCATTACGGCAGAAGGCTGGGCACTGCGAGAAATTTTAGGTGGGAATTGGAACGCGTCAAGTGTGAAAGTATTCGCTCGCGGCACTACAAATACTATTATTTGCACAGGACCTTACATGAAACGTTCACACTTATCAGCTGTGACCTCGGAAATGTATCCCTCTTCATTGTAGTCGCGCCTGTGACTAGCCCGAAGTTTAGTGTATGTGAGAAGCGATCACCGTATCTTGCATTCTTGGCTTGGCCTATTGAAAGAAGCACTTCGACTGACAGAGCAAAGGCACAAGATTGTGAATGTTTGTGTTTGGAAGCAGCAACTGATATGCACCCTGCCCATGTTAGTTTTACACTGTACATAAGTAAACTGGAGAAATAAGTCATTGAACACAGATGTCAGTGCAGCCACAGTGGGCAGCCACAGTTGGATAACAAATTATTGATAATGTGCTGCTATCTATCAGGGCCTAAATCATTGACCCACACTAGCATCAGTGAGTGAATCTACCCTGAACCATTATTCATACCAAGACTGATTGTAGGAGTCCAGTGGATGGGAACTGTTAGTTTTGTTGCTTAGATTTGTTGTTGGCTGGATGGAGTTTGCCCTGGGCAGAACACAACACACTCTACATGTGCGTGTGCGCGGGCTGAACTGGAGTTTGTTGGGTAGCTGCGCTTCGCACTGACTATTGGGACCGCTGTAAGTTAGTTAGTCACTCCTGCATGCTCCTATTCTCGTTGTGTTGGTGTGGCTTGTGTAATCTTTTTGTCAGTGTTTTGCTGCTGCTGATGATGAGATGGGTAGCTGCGCGGCCCCTCACAGCAGCACAGCAGCCACTCTATAAACTCAAACGGTTTTGTTGTGTTCGTGTGTGGAGAGGGGGGGGGGGGGGGGGGGTGCTAATCCGCAAGCAGTGGGTGGTGCGTGTGTGATCCTGACTTGGAAGAAAGTGTCCATTGCTTCCACAGCAAGGTTCACAGATCCAACGCCCGTGCGAATAAGGTGTTGCAAACCCCTTCCATCATCCCACCACTTACTGTAAGACACGTTATTATAACGAGTTGCAAATTTAACGATTGTCCAAAATTCATAGGTTAACGAGAAGATACGTTAACGATCTTGCGGTCTTCAGGCATATCTGCACATAACACAATAATATGTCATAGTGCTGAAACGATTACGTTTTTTCCTTAGTGGCTTAGCTGATACCATAACGATCGGCTTATCGGCTAAACGATTATTATTGTAACTACATCAGTACAGTCATGTGCATTCTGTGAGTTTCAAAACATTTACGAGTCCAACATCGCCAACGACGGAAAGCGGCCGCATAGATCAGATGATCCCGCAACAAGCCCGTCAGTTGTTCGGACTGACCAGACGATTACGGACCAGACAGAGGCGACGCACTGGTTGCAACCCAAGAGCTGATGGTGCCCTTCACCTGTGACTTCGCTGAGTCCGACGATGAAGTCAGAGAAGCCGGCCAGGGGTGCAGATCGGCGGATTTCGACGGATGAGCTGACTAGAGGCGCGCCAACAAGTAACTAGTTGCTTTTCCTGTCTATGCTCTAAATATTAATTGGACCAGACGCCAGGCCTAGCTCGTCGTCGACCAAACTGGTTCGGGAACCGTCGATAGAACGGAAAACATGAAACTGAAAACCACTTTACTGTCTTTGGCTCAAGACAACTCGCACGCGGAGAGAACTCCAGCACCTGCAGCTACTCGCACATACTGAGCCGGCCAGACCTGCATGCTGTATGTAAGAAAAGTAGTCAGCTAAAAATATGGCAACATAACAGTGATCGCGTCGATGTTTCTCAGATCGCGCTTGTACTTACACGTACGTCGACGTTGCAAGTGTACAGTCATGTACCATCGTGTCGTACTCGCAACACTTTCGGTGCATGCACCCTTTGTGCGACCCCCAAAAGGGAGAAAATCCCATACCGAGCGTCAGTACCATTCTACTCGTTTAGCCGATAAAATCGAAATAACCGTTCGATCTATTTCTTATCGAGTAAGTAACGAGTAATCGATATAATCGTTTCAGCACTAATATGTCATAATTATTATGAGGCATTAGAGCCTCAACAGAACTTATCAAAACGAAAAAATCTCACCGTTAAAACGTTAGATTTACTTCCTCGTTAAAAGGAGGCCTGTCTTACAGCAGATGCTGCATCTGCGCCTTGATCCTAGAGGGCGGTGGCGTTCCTACGGATGCGGAAAACTTGGCTTCCAGCCGAGTCTCACGCGAACTGTGAACCCCCCCCCCCCCCCCGCCGTCCATGTGTAAGCAGGCAGATTCCACCTGTTCGTTATCAAGGCTACAAATGATAACTGACTTAGAATATTTTCCTGAGGTTTGGCTGCCATGCACCGTACTTTGTAAAGCATGTCAGTGTTTTGACTTGGCTTCCCCTGTGAGCATCACGTGTGACCAGTTGGTCTGATCCACTCACGTCCCACTACTTTCGGAGCTGCACTTGTACCGTGTCGATCCTTGAGGATGGGGGCAGTGTTCCTGCGGGGACGGAACGTCAGTCCGACTGACTCTAGTTTGAACCATGAAGTTGTTGCTACCGTCATGGTAGTGAGATGTATTGCACGCGAGCAGTTTTAAATTGTGGAAGCTTCAAAATCCTTCTCGCAATTCCACGTGGGGAGCACGAATGACATGGCATGCGTTCCACGAAAGTGTTCTCTAACTTCACATATCCCGAGTCCCTTTGATCAGGATTTTTCAATAGGCCGCACAGTTTCTGAGTCATACCGTATTTTCTCTAATATAAGCATGGTCCTTTATTTTTTCAATGTACCTCCGCCCCGTGCTATTAATGGAGACGTTCCTTTATTGGAGACTGTTCCATTATTATTTCAACCTCATTTCAGAGGCATGTTGCCATGCCAAATTCATGTCAGACACACACATTTCAGGTTTTTTTTTCGCCGGTACAGATAATGAATTTACACAGTGTGCTTATAATGGAGACTGAGCACTTTATTTTTTGAATGCCGCCTCAATGTGTTCTATTATTGGAGACGTGCTATTATTGGAGACTGTGCTTATATTAGAGATAATACGGTATGCGTATTGTTCCCCATTTCGAAATATGCCGTAAGGGTGTACGTGAAATATTTGAAATGTAAAACATACAAAGGACACCTGGATCGGAGTTGTGAGTCGTTGTCCAACACTGTCACTAGATAATACGCGGTCAAAATGTGCAATAACTGGGCACAAAACTGACAAGATTGCATAGACATTTAACGACCTGACACCTAGTTCGAACAGATCTCCAGTGCACGCCTTAGAAATGTTCGTCCAGTTTCTGGTTGTGGACAGGGTCCGGTCCAATGGTGCCACGTCAGCTGGGTAGAGGTATTTTGAGGTTATCGCCAACATGTCCTGTTTTGAATCTGTGCTTGTGTGGTGGGCTGATCTATACTGATCTATGATGTACTCACCTCCCACCACTTTAGGCGCTGCATCTGCGCCTTAGATCTTTGCAGGGTGGTTAGATGGCGTTCCTACGGATGCTAAAAACTCAGTCTAGCTGAGTCTCAAGGGGACCGTGAATCGTTTGTGTGTGTGTGTGGAAGTTGACCTCTGCATCGTGCCGTGAATGGACCAGTGCATGTTTGGTAGCATATTTGTGGTGTCCCGGGGAGACACGTTGGCTGATTTGTGGCCAGGAGGTGTCAATTGAGTGTTGAGCATGATGGCTGCTTGTGTCCTTGGAACCCACCGACAGGTGCAGCACTTAAACGTATTTTGGGAAATTAGCACCGGTCTTTCAGTCTTTCGTTACCGCCTGTCTGAAATAAGCGCCACATCATTTCAGGGCTTTTGTGTGGATTTTTTTCAAACTGGGTGAAATTTTACGGCTCGCAAACTACTAAATGCCTTGGCCAGTATTGCCAATCATTAGGTATGATTCAAATCTGCAGATTGCACACCCGTGGCAACACAAACAAATAGACTGGACGTGGTAGCAGTGGAAATCAGAATGTCTGAGAGGTAGAAGTTAGTTGGAGCAGACCCGAGCTGCGTGTCTCGCAAGAGAGAACGCATGCGCTTGATCGAGTTGCTAAACCTGCCGACAGTACTGCTTCATCTTGTTGCATTTGTCAACATATTCTGCACCCATGTCAGCAAAAACAAACTAAAAAGTTAAAAACCCCACGACTAGCGCTACACAAGTAGTCTTGTTCGGAAGGTGACGTATTTCCCTGCTTATAGATCGCATTCGATTGTAAGTCACACCCCCATTTCCAGGTCCATGTCATTATCGTTTTGATTATATTCACTTAAGTCGTAAGTCATGCTCGATGCACCCCCTTTGTCGGCCCTGAAATTAAGTGTAAAAAGGTGCGACTTATATTCGGGGAAATACGGTAATTGCATTGCCACTCGGCTCATGAGGTTGCTGGTCTCTGTTACGGGTTGGCTACTGTGTACTCTTTTGTGGGAAGGTTGCTATCCGAGGCGTCACTAAAGCACAGTGCGCATTCTTGAATGAGCTGCAATCATGGGGTGCTGCAAAGTCTTATGCACATGCTATGCCTGTAGTTGTTGCTGTTCAGGCACACACATGCACATGCACACTTCTCTGGTAGTGGTACATGCTCAAGTGCTGAGTCCCCAATCTCCCTGTCTAGTCATAGCTTGGCTGCTGTGACAGTTTTCCTAGCCCAGCTGTCCAGTACTGAAGTAGGTACAGATAGGCTATTGTAGAGCGGGGCAGCTGAGGAGCCCTGCATAATTGTGCATTGCTGCCGCACTGCTGGGGTTGCCCGTGACGTGGTACGAATTGTGATTGGAGACTGCGCGACCGATGGGGCGAGACGCAGACAACAATGGCTTGGTCTCCTTGGTATTATGTACGTAAATGAATTTCTACTCGTATGTATTTGTGTGTTTGTGTGTATGGGAGGGGGTATGTGTGTATGTGTGTATGTGTGTTTCTGATTATGATTGTGCTAGGTTGTGAAGAACATAGAGAGGCATAACAGTTATGTGTGTGTATTGTATATCGTGTACATTCGATGAAGCTGCTGTGTCATCACAGACACAGCTCATATAAGAGTTAGCAAAATGCCCTCAAGACCTCCAGTTGGTATGCCTGTGTTACCGTTGCTGTGCTTTGGCAGACGTTGATGCAGTGGTGGTGGTGATAGTAGTTGCCATGGGACGCCGATCACCGAACGTCATGCCGGGGCGGCGGAGAAGCAACGTGCAGCTCTGCATACGTGTACTATTGCTGGACGACCAGTACCAAACATTCTTTATTGACGTAAGTCAGGTTCCGATTGTAGGCCTTGCTTCTGCTGCTGCTGGTAGAGTCAGACCTCGCTTATCCGGTCCTCTTTTCATGATCCGGATCCCTCGCCATCCGGAAGAAAATCGTTGGTTACCGATGTACAGCATATGCCATGCATACATACCGTATGTGAGTTCGATTATCCGGTTCCCTCGCCTAACCGGGTATTTTTGTGGAAAACAGATGTGTGCTGTTACAATGTATGCGAGGTCTGACTGCAGAGTACATTAGTGTCTGCCATTGCCCTGGTAAGAAAACTAATGTTAAAAATTAAAATCAATAAAGACCTCCAGTCCTCCACCAATCGACTCGGATGGAGAGCCAAGGATAAATAATTTTAGCGTGACTTGTAGTTCCTTGGTCCTTTTCAAAGTCTTTTCTATAAAATAATACCTCCACCAATGTTCTGCTTGTATGGAAGTCCAGTGATTTGGGCAGCCACTCCCATAATTATTGGTAGTCAAGATTTGTCATTACTGGTGAGTTCTGTACCCGAGGCTGCTGCTATTCATGAGGATGACTGTACAGTCAGACCTAGCATAACCGCACACATCCGTTTCCCACAAAATTATCCGGATAGGCGAGGGAACCGGATAACCGACCACACATACTGATGACATAATTATAATGTAAATCGGTAACCAAAGATTTTCTTCTGGATCGCGAGGGATCCGGATAAAAGAGGACCGGATAAGCGAGGTCTACCTGTATTGCATTTACGCATGCCATCAGTATGCTTGCATGGCCTGTGTGAGGCGCTAATCGAGAAAGCGTGACATTCACGCTTTCTCATTTTGTAATGGCTGTCTGTGGGTGTTGTACTTGCTGTACTTGTTGACTGTAATTACCTTCACACATGTCACCGACATGCTTGCATGGTCTCTGTGAGGAACTAATCGGGGGAAAATATGTTCACACGTTCAGATCTCGTAATTTATAAGGAAAGAAGAGGACCAAAGAGTTACAAGTTCCGCTATAATATCCACTAACACCACCAATTTCCCTGGCTCTCCACCCGAGTCTAACATCTCGTAATGTTATATTTGCTGCATTTTTGTCGTACAGAGCAAGTGTACTGGTCTAGACTTCTTCGCACTCGTCTGCAATGAGTTGGATCTACTGGAGAGAGATTTCTTTGCCCTGCGCTTCCAGGACACTAACCAACAATTGGTAGGCCTTGCTCCATGGACATTGCTCAGGTTGTTCATGAATACTGGACTGAAATACGACAGTAACGTGGTGTTTATTTGGTTGGTGATATTTGAACTTTTTGCAAACCGAACAGACTGTGTAGATTCAATGACAAGGGAGCAAATGAGGACACTAGGAAGGGTGCAATTTTGCTTGTGCCCCCCCCCCCCTCCCCATCAACTGATGGTGTACCCGCCTAGCCTTTGTTTATTTGTACGTGTGCATGCAGCGGCGGATCCAGCGATCTTTACAGGGGGGGGGGGGGGGGGATCCAGTATACTTGTAGTCAAAACTGAATAGCTGATACATGTACATGGACACGCATATGGTTGCCAGTAGTACATTTACGAAATTTAGGGGGTTCCGCGGAACCCCTGGAACCCCTCCTGGATCCGCCCCTGGCATGAATACAACTCCTTCTACCGGAGGATGCACTGCCGGTGTGCCGAGGGTGCTCAATATTGCGGAGGTCGCTGAGCAGAAAACTAGCCTTGTTATTCCGCATAACTGATTCTGTGTGCAGTTCTGGATGGACCCAGTGGAGACAGTCAAAAAGCAGCTAAAGTGTAAGTAGCTGTCGAAATGAGCTTTTTTCTATTTTTCTTTATTAAGTCCACTCATGCTTCAGAATAACTGCGGAAAGTGATGGTGGGGCCCTGCTGCTAAGCTGACCTTGGTGGTCTCGGCGTCTGCACAGACAAAGCGCGCGCTTTACACTTACGCTTTGCTTTTTGAGCATATCAACCAAGGAGTCGCGGCAACTGGGGCGGCACCACGGATGACTGGAATGCTGGAACTTTAATTAATTTATTCATTCCTCTCGCTCTCAGAGCTAGTATGGGGAACGCAAATGTGATTACAGTCAACTTCGCTTATAACGACACTCGGCGGCGGGCCATCAGAAAAGTGTCCTTAATTATTCGCGAAGTGTCGTTATACCCGAAGTCTCATTATATGTATTACAGTTGGATGGGACTTTGCCGTCTGGGCATGGAAATTCTGTTGTTATTCGCGAATTGTCGTTATATCCGCAGTCGTTATTAGCGAAGTTGACTGTATCACTTCCGGGCCGACCATTGTCACCGGCTTTGGGCTGGCCTGATTGACATGATTGTATTAATGCTCGCAATACTGCGGCATCCCCGATCTGGCCTGCATTGTTCTTTTTTTGGGCGGGGTGGGGAGATTGTACCCTTGCTTGTCTTTGATCTTCTTGTATCTTACTCTCATACATGTGCAGCTTCACCGGAGGCTGACTGTTACCTGTGTGTCAAGTACTATGTGGCTGATCCATGTTCACTACGAGAGGAGCTGACGCGGTAAGCGATTTCCACGCCATGCTTAAAAAAAGACATTTCATTGTTCGTGGCGTGTTTTTGCCAGGACAGGAGAACGCCCTTCAAGGTGTCGAGATTGCTCCTTTGTAACTCGCATAGGCCTTCACATTCTGCATTGCTCACGTTGTATTGCGGGAACATTATTGCATGATGTGAGTATTGTGTGCGTATTGGCCAAGTTTTAAGCACGTTTCCTGCATAGAAAATAGGAATTGTCCTTGTTTTTTTTCTCCATGTGTGTTTGCTCCTGATGTTTCTCTGTATGTGACTAGGTATTTCTTCTTCCTGCAAGTCAAACGTGATATCTTCCAGGGACGGTAAGCTAGGCTACATACTAGTGACACTGATGAACTAGCCCAGGCTCGGTAGAACCGGTCCGGCTGGTCAGACCCTGGCCGGACCAACTTTTTGGTCACCAATCGCGTGAGGGTGGTCATGTTCACCTGCCATATCATGCACAATGTGTGAAGGGCTAGGGTATGGCCGCACCAATCCGAAACTGCTTCTGCCGGTCCTGTAGTCTCCGCGCTTTTGTGAATACAGTCAGACCTCGCATAACCGCACACGTCTGTTTTCCACAAAAAAATATCCGGATACGTGAGGGAACCGGATAATCGAACGCCGGTTATGTCGGATGCACCGCCTATGCTGTAAATCTGTAACCAGCTATGTTCTTGCGGATGGCGAGGGATCCGGATAAAAGAGGACCGGATAAACGAGGTCTGACTGTGTTGTACAATGATAGTGGTGCTTCTTGTTGGTTAACGAATGTTGTCTCTCATGCACGTTGGTCCTGCTCTTCTTCTTCTTGTTCTTCCTCTTGGTGTTGTTTCTGAAGGATCATGGCAACGCGTTCCATGGCGCCAACTCTCTTTGCCTGCCTCTTACAGTGTAAGTTGTGATAGGAATGTGTGACAATGCTGTTGTGTTCAATGGCATCCGCAATGCCCTTCCCGATAGCCCGACTGGAAATTGTCATTAGCAAACTTCATGTGAAACAGCAGTGTTCCTGCGGTGATTGCCACTTCTGTCAGTTCTGAGGCACCATAATCTCACACATACATTCTGGGGTTTCTTCCTCCCCCCCCCCCCCCGGTTGGTTCTGCAGTTTTGTTTTTGGTATTATTTTGTCACAATGTGTGTGTATGTATGTGTGTGTGTGTGTATGTGTGTGTGTGTGTGTGTGTGTGTGTGTGTGTGTGTGTGTGTGTGTGTGTGTGTGTGTGTGTGTGTGTGTGTGTGTGTGTGTGTGTGTGTGTGTGTATGCCGGCGTATGTGGTGTGGTGTGTGTGTAGAAAAAAATGGAAAAATGAAAAATAGGGATTCACTGGCCAGAAAAAGTCACTTCAAACAGCTGTGTGGTGGATACCAGGCTAAAAATAGTGGCGGTCAATTCATCAGCCTTGCAAGCTGTTGAATGGTGTAATCCCAGCACAAGTTGCTATGTCTAACATAGCTGTTCGCTATCATCGCTTCCGCGATGGGCAGGTCTGAGGTCTGAGGTGTGTGTGTGTGTGTGTATGTGTATGTGCATGTGTGTGTGTGTATTTCACTGTACAGCTGAGCTTGGGGACTACAGCTCCGATGACTTGCATCCAGACTATGTTCATGAATTTGAGTTTGTTGCTGGTCAGGTAAGATAACTAAGAGTGAGTGTAGGCAGGCCTGGCAGCCGCTGAGGGCATGTGCCGTGCGCTAGGCTAGTATGATCTGCCGCTGGCAAATGCATGCGACCCATGCACCATACAGCTACCGGTAGCTTGGCATAGCATTGACCAGATTTGTTTTGGCGACGACTGTACATGTAGTTTGGCAATGATATTTTGAAAGCTGAAGAGTATTGGGTCAGCCAGAGTGCACGTATGTTGCGTAAGATTCCGTGCATTGGAGGTTTCATGTCCGGCTTTGTTTGTCTTCTCTCCGTGTTCTGTAGAGTCTAGACTTGGAAGCCGAGGCTGAGCAAGTGCACAGGACTCTAAGGTATTGTCATGTCCCCGAGGTTGCCATTGTAGTCGATCCCATTGTGCGTGTGTTTGGCTTCTCGCTTGTCCAGACGCTCGTGGAGTCGCTGTCTCTGTGCTGATTGTGTTGTCCATCCACATTCTCTCTCTCTCTCTCTCTCTCTCTCTCTCTCTCTCTCTCTCTCTCTCTCTCTCTCTCTCTCTCTCTCTCTCTCTCTCTCTCTCTCTCTCTCTCTCTCTCTCTCTCTCTCTCTTTCTATCCATCCATCCATCCATCTATCAATCTCTTTCTCCCTTGGCGTTTCCCCTGTAACGATGTCTTCCCAACCTCCCTTGTTAGTTGTGGCTCAGTTGTGAGAGCTGGACATAACAATACAATATATACCTGTCCTAAATCGGTAAAACCCGGTTGAATTTTTTAAACTTCCTTTCTGGCCTCAAATGTGGCAGGGAAGAATGCGGCGCGGGTCACGTCGTGCAGGATACTCTGCATTTTCAGCTTTTTACCATCATATTTGAGACCGTGACCAGAATGTGAGGGTGTCAGTTTTGGATGAATGGACTGTGCAACTGAACCTGTACAACCGATAATCAGTCAGTGCTATTGAAATCCAGGCCCCGGTTTTCACCATAGTGACCAGTGTCTGCTGCAGAGCCGGGTCAGTCTGGTCAGCGACCCGGTTGGGGGCTACTTGGACCCGCTTGGAAAAAGAACACCGGGTCACTTGTGAGTCGATGTGACCCGGTTGGGACCGTCAATCAGGGAGTCCCAATACCCCCTGATGTACAATAGCCGTGCATGAATGTACCCGGGGACTGATCCGGGGCAAGGGTTGTGCCATGCAGGTATAGGTGTACCCGGTTGGTTTGAAATCCTAGAGCACACACTGCATACATATACCACACTGTAGCCATAGTGTGTCTTATAAGGACTAAATCCAATACGGTATAGAAGCCTGTCTTGGATACAAGCCTGATTCTCAAGATGTACTGCCGCACATAAGCCTGGTTTAGTGTTGACATGCACGTTACTGTCGTGTACATGGGAATCCGGTCGCACGTCTAGCAGCCCCAGGGCGCTGGCCATGCAGCCGTGGCCGCGTGGGTAAGCGGTACACACATTCATTTTTATGCGCTGCAGCGTGCTGGTCGCATCGGATCAACATGTACACTGCATGCAACGTTCTGTACGCGCTGAGGGCGCCGGTCCTGGTCAATCGACTGGATTTCCATGATCATGACAGTAGTAGAAAACACCTGGTTGTAATAGAACTATTAGAAGCCTAGCGCTGCCATCGGCTTCTAAATTCTACATGAATAAACAGGGCTTTATACGGGACGCTGCGGTATACATGTACAGACTTTCTATTGGTATCCCATTTAGCTGTCGCGTGCTTTTTGCTCTTTGCCCGAAACAGTGGCCTGGTGCCGTCCGACGCGGAGAAGAAGTTCTTGGACAAAGCAAAATGGCTGCCTCTCTATGGAGTGGATCTTCACCCGGTCAAAGTAAGTTCACCATAGTGTGCACAGGAGAGCAAATTCCATGAATTCATGCTTTTTTTCATTTTTACAAGTGCTTATCCTCATCCTTTCTTTGTTTGCAGGGGAGCGAAGGGGAAGAGAAAGGAAGAAGTGGGGCTGGGGGGGGGGGCAAAGGGAAAGAGAGAATGGGGCGGGGGCAAAGAGAAATGTGCATTTCATTGACCATACATTCGGTGTATGTACATGTGAGTCTGTGTATGTGAATATCTGTGTGTTTGCGTGTCTGCCCGTCTGTGCATGTATGCACGTGTCATTCCTAGGGTGCTGTGGGTACAGCGTTGCAGATTGGAATCAGTCAAGTGGGAATTGCCGTCTTTCAGAACGCTACGCGTGTCAGCTTCTTCCACTGGCCGAAGATCAACAAAGTGCAGTTCAAGAGAAAGTTCTTCATCCTCCAGGTGGTGGTTAGTAGTGAGGTAGGTAGGCAATAGAGAGGTTAAAAGATGCACGTTATTTCCGACGTCATGCGAAATTTCACGTCAAATTTGGCGTAAAGCTCCAAATTTTCGACTTGAGCCGCAGGTCACTCGCGTTGTTTTTCGACGCACGAGCCAACTGATGCGAGCTGAACTTTCGCATCACGTCAAAAATAATGTGCAGCTTAACCTCTCTGATATGTAGCACTAAGAGTACATGCAATCTAGAGTGTGCGGGTTCTGACTTTTTCTGCATGGGTGTCTGTCACTGCAAAATTCCGGGGTTACATCGTATTTGGTGCAGGTCTGCGGTGGGAACTGGTGTAGTGCGTACTATTGAGCTGCAGTTGTGTAGAAAGAGACCTGCTTGAATCCTGCTTGTGCGCATCATTGAAATGAATTTTGCAACCTATCAGAGCTGCACGCTCTGGGTTTCATGTACTCTAGGTAGCATCGAGAGTACATTTTAACCCACGAGAGTGTGTAACTCCCGCATACAGTAAGTACCCTGCTGTTCCGGCAGAATTTCATGTTGACGTCATCTTTTCGAAGCAATGCTCCTCGTGCGCGTGATTTACAGCGTTTGTACCGGGTATCAAACTATCAATGCATCACATGTGTTTCCTTGAACTCAGTAGTTTGCACGGGATCAAAAGGGGATTTGTTCACCACAGGTCCAGGGTACGTCTGATAATCGTACGTGTACGATGTACGACGTGTACACGACCGTGTGCATTGCGTCATAAAAATGACGTCAGGGAAGAGTACCATGCGGTGTATTACTCTTCCCTGACCGCCGTGACCGGTCAACTTGAAATTCTACTGGAACACCATGCACTGATAGTGAGAAAAAAAAAGAAAAAAAGGTTGGTTGGCTGGCTGGCGGGCTTGGTTGCTGTAAATAATAAAAATCGAACAACAGCAAAATTTATTGTGCTTTCTTACAATGTCGAATACATAATTATTTTGATTCTATGCTTGCTTGATGGTTTGGATGGTGAATTCGATTTTGAGCAAAACATGGAGGCTCAAGAGGGGTTCGAACCCTCGATCTTCGGTTTACAAGACCGACGCCTTACCACTTGGCCATTGAGCCAGATGCATCACTGTGTTAGCATACTAGTAACCTGACTCTGTGTGTATAGAACACACATCATTGACAGAGAATTTTTCAGATGATCATTATGATTTCCACGGGCACTTGCAGCTGCAGGTAGGGATACCTTTCAGGATTTTCATGTTCTAACTCTGCAGTACAGTTGCGCTCGGTGAAATCCGACCCAGAGTTCGTATTAGCGCCCTCAACTGGCACGCTATTGGCCCCCTGGAAGTGGTGCGACTGCGGCTGGAAGTACACGTGTACAAAATACAGTCATGTAATCGGAACTGGTCCAGGGCGCCAGCTTTGCACTTTGGGTCGGATTTCACCGAGCACAACTGTGAACGTATCATGAAGTTATGAGTCGCATTCGGTCCCTTACTATTCATCACTGTCGTTTTCAGTTGCAACTCGATGACCCCCTCGGTCTGCGGTGAAATTGTTTTTGTGACATCAGTCTTTTGCGGCCATTTGCTTCGCTGTCGCCTCACGAATAGCCGACGATAACGAAAGAGTTCAACGAATTTGTAAATCACTGCTGTGGTAGACGAAGCAGAGCAGGGACGGTGGGTCAATGTGTCCTGAAGCGGATGGGCTGAACACATCTCCCATGTTGAGCACGGAAACGCGTGCGGACTTCATCATACTTTTGACGGATTCAAACATGATGCGATTAAAAAAAAGGAATCTACACTGTCCCAGCTGAATGGGACAACAGACACTTTTGGTGATGTACTCTTGACATCGCCCTGTGCGTGTGAGGAAAAAATAGAGGAGAAGGCTCAAGAGGGGTTCGAACCCTCGATCTTCGGTTTACAAGACCGACGCCTTACCACTTGGCCATTGAGCCTCACTTGATGCCATGCCAGGACCAATAAACCTATACAGCTACTTCTGTACAGCGGAGACTGTGGGCAGGGAAAATTTGGAATTTTAATGCCGAATATGGGCATCCGTGACCAACACGTCCCGACAGTGTGCATGCAGCCCTGGTTTGGCTTTAGCCAAGTCTTTCTCATCCTGTACTCAGTCCTACACTTATGTTATTTTAGCAATGATGTCATAACTTTCCCTTCTCTCTCTCTCTCTCTCTCTCTCTCTCTCTCTCTCTCTCTCTCTCTCTCTCTCTCTGTCTCTCTCTCTCTCTCCCCTTGCTTCTTTCCCGTGATCACAGGAAACGAAAGTCAATCAGCTTAAGTACAAGTTCTTGACCAGTTCAGAGCGCAGTGCAAAGGAGCTGTGGAAGTGCGCCGTGGAGCAGCATTGCTTTTTCAGGTAAGCTGCCGCTGCCACTGCCAACCATCCCGAATTGGCCGGGACCGCCTCGATATCCAGTTTGGTAATAGGCACCCAAAAGTGCATCAGTAGAATGCCACTCAGCTACATTTCTCATTTTCATACCTAGGTATGTCATTGTCCCGCTCTCAGGTTTGCAAAGGTTGGCAGGGTATGGGTAAGTCACTTGTCGCCGCTGTGTTGTAGTGATGGTGCCAACACGGTAGCTTAAATTGTCGCCATAGCAACGATAAAACTATAGAGATTAGGTGTTTACAGCGTGCGTTGAAAGTTTCATTCCGAAAGTTCACCAGCATGACGTCATGTGCACACCGGAAACCATTGTTGCAGTGGTATCCCCACCCCCTCTCCTCCCTCCCGCCTCCCCTCCCCTTGGGCTGAGGTCCACTAATGCCCCCCCCCCCCTCCCCTTGGGCAGGAGTCCACTAAGAGATGTGTAGAGAAGCTGTTAATACGGCATTACCGTTACCACCATGCTGTTCTGTGCGGTGCTGCCCGCTGTTGCTTGTTCAGGCGCATCGTGATTGACCCGAACGACGACTTCAGTCGCGGGGGCGGCCTGCTCCGCTCCGGATCAAAGTTCCGCTACACAGGCCGCACCGAGTTTCAAGTACGACAGTCGCTGAGAGCCGTCAACCGCGAGCAACCACACTTCACACGGTACGGGATACCAGTCAATGTAATTACTATAATTTCACAAATTTTCGGTGTACTTATAATTCCGGTACTTTCGGTGGGTCTGTTTCATACCTAAAATTTCAATACACCGAACAAACACTAACACACACAGTCCAATGGGAACGACTTCTCTGTACCTATATTTTCTTTTCTCCTAACCTGGCTTTTTGCCCTCATACCGAAAATATTGAGCATGTAAAATTCCTGAAATTAGAGTATTTCAGCATTTGACAAGAGTACATGTGATGCTCTGCACCCTGTGCGTGCTGTCCGATAGAAGAGGAAACTTTCTTTTGAACAATGTGTCCCTTCAGCATAATTGTGTTTTATGTTTGTTCTACTTATTTGCTGTGTGTGTATGTGTGTGTGTGTGTGTATGTGTGTGTGTGTGTTTGTGTGTGTGTGTGTGTGTGTGTGTGTGTGTGTGTGTGTATGTGTGTGTGTGTACATGTGTGCGTGCGCGTGCGTGTTCTCATGTGTTCATGCACGTATGCGTACATGTACCAATATGTCTATTGCTGGATGCCATGCTGCCTAGAATTGACTCAAGACACTTTCGCCGAAGCCTTCCACCGGGTAAGAACCTCCACGGGGACTCCCCGGACCCCGTAGTACCCCCCCCCCCCCCACTGCCCTGTGACGCCCTCATGATGATGTACAACAGGAGCAATGTGATTCTCGTTCAATGAGCTATTCTTTATATAAAGTGGACTTTGTGATGTGCTCTGAATTTCTCCGTTGACTGGCAGCATTGCACCTTCCCACGGTTGGCCATCACTGGCGCAGTCATCGTGGACTTACTATCAACGACAACCCGCACAGCAAGGCACTCAAGCTGAGCAGGAAGCAGTCCAGCGCGGAGAACCACCACCACGAGAGCCTATTTCTGCGCCTGTCTCGGTAAGGGCTGTGGCCACTGATGTGTATGTGTACGTGACGTCGTAGAAACCGCTTTGCCATGGGTCAGGGCAACCCTGCCCGTGAGCTCATTTCATATTTATTTGTTTGAGTTTCATCAAGAAGAAGTCAGTTGTTTGTTCCAGGATTCCTTGTGTTGTTTGAGAGTGTGAGTTGGACATGCAGAGGCGAACATAACAGCCACCGTGCTATCATTACCCGGGCCTGCACATGGGCTGGGCCCTTCCAACCACAAGCTAGACCCACTGTATGGTTTACACACCATAATAACTATTTTAATATAATCTGTAGTGATATTCTAAGGATCAGTCAAGGAAGTGAACTGCCTGAAAACTGAAAAAAGAAAAAGAACGCCAACCATACCAGAACTCAAACCCAGGATCTTGCTTGTCATGAGCAATAGTCTAACCATCTGAGCTATGGGACCAGGCCAAACCTAGAAGGCGCCGACAAGTTTTTCACTCCCAAAGGCAGCTCGCAAGTTCGTCATAGTCACAACACAATATTGTCTCTATAATAATAATAATAATAATAATAATACCACAGCACGCGTAATAATATAATTATGTGGGTATAATTATACGTTCCGCTTCTGTCCTATCTCCTATGATCAAATTCCATTATCAAGGTAATTATTAACACGGCGCACTGATGACCTGTGACGCCAGATCATGGATTGTCGGCCAGATTTCTCCATGTAGGCTTGTCCAGAGCGATGGCCCTCACATTCCCCAGCTGACTGCTGCGCTTCAAGTCGATGTTCCTCCTCTGTAAGTCGCTTATGATGCGCGTCGCAATGGATGTCCTTGGACGTCCACGCCCAGCCTTGGCATCTCCCGCAAAATAGCCCGTCAGCGCGATCCATGGCGGCGCATCCCTGTCCATACGGAGAATATGGCCGGTTAGCTGCCATCTTCTCCTGTCCACGATGTCAGATAGTGGTTCCGTGTTGCACCTCTCATACAGCTCAGTATTTGATATCCTGGCTGGGTAGACTATGCCAATGAGCCGTCGGAGCTGCTTCCGGTGGAAAACGTTAAGCGATTCTGCTTGTGCTGCCGTGAGCCCCCATGCGCCGCAGTTATACAAAAGAACGGGCAGAACCAGGGCATTATACAGGCGGATGCGCCTCTGCTCACTGACCTTCCCACGCCTCAGCCAGAGGCTATACATCCTGCCGTATGCACTCGAAGCGAGGTCTTTCCTCCGCTCCAGGTCCTCACTGTCGCCAATGAGGGACCCTAGCTGCCTGCTGGACCGCCAGGAGTCTGAAGTTGATGTCAGATGCAAGAATTCGGTCTTGGTCTCGTTTACTGTAAGGGACCAATCCCCGAGTTCTGCGCTAATGATATTGTCTCTATACTTTATAATAAGGCCAAAACAAAAAATAGGCTTGTTTCCGGTCGGCAACCCCTCAAAAAGGAGACTCGGTCGGCCGGAATGAATTTTTTTGGATACTTTGTTTTGGTTCCTCTATCGTTGTGGTATTGATGGACAAGAGCACCTACACATATACATTGTACTATATCATGGCAAGAATCAATGTCAAAGTTGACTGACTCCCTGTTTTTGTACAGCATGTGGTGTGTTCCTGTTTTCGTACATCCTGAGAAATCAAGCAAACATTTCGAGTCCTTCCAGCTCCGTTATTATAGCTCGTATCGACCCCGGAGGTTTTCGAGCCGACAGCTGAGAATCTCTGCTACCTTTTAGGTGGTTCGACTGTGGAATTAGGTTGAGATGTGACTGAGTTATGACTCGTTGAGTGCACTTGCACACATGACATTGCCACCGTTTGTATACATTTGGGACCAAAAAAAGTTTCAGAATTTGGGAAAAAGTGGCCCGGTCGGCTGACCGGAAACAAGGTCATTTTTTGTTTTGGCCTAAATAGTAAATACAGTCCTCACATCCCCTCATATTGCATCTTCATCGCAATGTCCTAACTCCTACCTTCCCTGTCTCGTTTTCTGCTTCTTGTACCACACTTAGTCCACTGAGAAGATCCACAGGTCCAGAGACTCCCAACGCATCAACGAACCGCAAGGCATCCAACAAGAGCAAGTCAGAATCGACCGGCCTGGGTCAAAGCGGCGGTCACGCCAGAGTGCAGAAGACGGTCTCCACTCCGTCGTTTTGGTGAGCACTGCATGTGCCGCTCCCTGACTGCCCCTTCCGATCATCATTTTTGGGGGTGTAGGGGGAGGGGGGGGGGCAGGGCAATTCGTGCAAAGCTCGCATATGGCATTGCTGGTCTGGGTCGTTTGGGGGTTAGCATGCGGGTCATCTCAAGGCAGCAATCATGATTGCAACTTATATTCTCTAGCTTCTCGGAGAAGAAGAAAACAGAAGTCGAAGAAACTGGTATAATCAAAGAACGGGTCTCGAAGAATTCGGAGATATTTTGCACATGTCAAGCAATATGAAGCACTAAAGGGGCCGTGATCTTGAGTGCCACGAATGTAGCATGCACTGTGCGTATGCGAAAAGGGAAATGCGTACACTCATGATCAACACGTGGCTTTTAGCCTAGTTCGCATGTGCTGATCCCGAACCGTGGGAATCTCCAAGTTTCAACCACCTCTGAAGCTTGGAGAGCTTGGAGAGCTTTGGAGAGCCTCCTAAAATTCGGAGAGGATATAAGAACAGCTCTCGCACTTTTCAGAGAGTCTCCAACTTTTCAGAGAGAATTTAAGAACGCACCCTTACACGTTGAACTTCCAAAAATTGGCCAAAATGCATATGGTTTCAAATACCGTCTCCCTAGATTCTACCATTCCACCTGATGATAACCTATTGTGTACTCTTGGCATGTGTGTGGCTGCAGGCTGAGAAAAGTGCGGAGAGCACGTACACCTGATGAATGCCCTCTGTCCCAGTCTTTGGGACCGCTGTACGCTTCACCGGTGAAGACACCTACAAAGGGAGGCAGCATGAAGTCGACCGGAGAGCACTCCAACAACGACTGGGGAACGCCGATGACGACGCGATCCACTGAGTCCACGCAGCGCTTCACTATGCCCTGGTGTGACGAGCCGGAGCCACTGCAAGCATCGCCGCCTGCTCCACCGCAAGCCGGGCAGGAATCCAATTCTCGTCAGACCTCGCCGAAGATCAGCGACCTATACTGCACACAGCGCAATGAGCTGATGAAACGCCAGCAGCGGCAACAGGCGAAGGCGCCTCAGCAGTCACAAGGCCACACGCGTGCCAAGTCACTGGGCAGTGGCATGACGGCAGCGCAGGACTTCACGGACGACTATGCCGTACCGCGCCCTCAACCAGCCGCTCCACCACCACCGTCGTCATCGCTGAATGCAACCGGACACACTTCACCTGCACATCACTACCAGCAACAACAGCACAAGAAACTGGCACGCTCGCCAATAGCTGGCGGACAGCGGCAGTGCCTTGAGGTACTGCAGCCGCTTCCGCCGCGGCCGAAGAGTGCTGAAGGCGCTCACAGCAACACGAATCACGGCAGTGGCCGAACCCGTCTCTTCAGCAGTGGTAGCGGTGTGCCAGGTGGAGGTGAATGGCCGTGGAGGAACAGTGCCACGCCGACCCCCGGCGACCCTGCTTCTGCCGCTGATTCTCCCGGTTTAGAACCAGATTACTTACTGGTAAGCTTGCAAGAAACGGAGTTGATGTGTCAATTCTCATGTTGCCATTGCCTAGACGAGTTTGTCAGATCAACCGTGTTGGTCTAGCGCATGCTCGTTGTGTGCATGTGTGTGTGTGTGTGTGTGCGTGCGTGCGTGCGTGTGTGTGTGTGTGTGTGTGTGTGTGTGTGTGTGTGTGTGTGTGTGTGTGTGTGCCACAAGAGACGTCCGTCTCGCCCTGTTTGAATTCCTGACGGCTTGGCTTGAGTTTTCCCAGCTTCGTCGTATTCTTTGGTGACTGTGGATTGGTGAAGAGGCTGCAGCTCTGTATTGCTGTTGCTACTTCCTCGGAACACGGTTGCTAGGCATACAGTACCGAAGAATCCCGCGGATAAGCCCATGGGCGTATCTGTTTCACGAGGACATTTCGGTGAGCTTATCCGCGGGATTCTACGGTATTGTTAATATTAATTTGCTAGGCCCCTCAGGAACCGTGGCAGAATTTTGTCACAAATCTCAATTTGTTGCTACATGCAAGGTCGTTTTATCCAGTCTCACCCGTACGCGGCATCTTTGAAATCCTACCAACTACTAATACCACGCTACTGTTGTGTTTACCAACTGCAGGAGGAGTCCGTGTCTGATGAAGCACACAAGCGCTACATGAAGAAGCTCTGGGACGACATGGCGTACGCGGACAGCCCTCCCCCGATCGACCTGAACGTCAAGCCGAGAGTGGTGACACGTCGCACCTCCGGCAGTGCCATCAAGGCACGGCGTCTGGGGGCGCGCAGTGCCGTGCTCACGGGGACGGAAGCCGACAAGGTTGCCAGGACGGTCGGCATTTCGTCACGCTACAGCTCTGGTGATCCGGAGGGGACCGCGGCTGGTGGCGGTGGTGAAGCCTTCCCTGGTCTCAGTAGGCAGGCAGCGTCATCAAGGTGAGATGAATGATCTCTCTCTCTCCCTCTCTCTCTCTCTCTCTCTCTCTCTCTCTCTCTCTCTCTCTCTCTCTCTCTCTCTCTCTCTCTCTCTCTCTCCCCTCTCTCTCTCTCTCTCTCTCTCTCTCTCTCTCTCTCTCTCTCTCTCTCTCTCTCTCTCTCTCTCTCTCTCTCTCTCTCTCTCTCTCTCTCTCTCTCTCTCTCTCTCTCTCTCTCTCCCCTCTCCCCTCTCCCCTCTCCCCTCTCCTCTCTCTCTCTCTCCCTTTCTGATGACCCTCAGTTATTTTGTGTTCCACACTTCAGTTATCCATGACTTGACTTACGACATAAAATTATTAAATTTGTGAGAGGCTACCAATTGTGTGCTGTATGTGTGTGTGTGTGTGTGTGTGTGTGTATATGTGTGTGTGCCTTCATGCGTGTTTGCATTTTCCTGCGTTTCTCTTGTGTGTGCTTCCCCATCAGTGGTCTGTTTCAACCAGGATGCTCTGACACACTGCCCGCTATACCTAAACGCAACTCTGGTGCTGGTGATAAGAGGTGAGCTGACAGCGAACCGAGTGAGAGCCAGTGACCATCAGTATAATGAGACTAATCACTGTTTCCATGATGTATCAGTTTGTAGTGTTGGGAACGGTAAACTTGTTCAAAACATGCAGTAGGGTTTTGTTGATTTGGCGCTATGATTAAAACTGACTGTCTTACGAAATCAGTTATCTCGTTCATCTACTGAACAGTGGTGGGTCGAGGGTCACCCAGTAGAGGGACCCATTATTAATTTTGTAGAAAGTCCCTTTCCTGGGCAATCCCAACAAGAACCTGACCAAACACAAGAAGACGAATCCTAGCCCAATCCTGTCACCGTGCGACTACCCTGATCTTATAATACTCATGCCAGTTGCACTACAAACAATCATCTGCCACTCATGACATCTTGCTCTAAAAAGGCGAGCTGCTTGCAAACTTGGATCCACACAAGAACCATGAGAACACGAGGTCAATCTTGGTGATCAGAAAAAAGAGGCTGATTAGGAACGTGCATGCCTAATTTATACGGGTCAAGATCGCGCATGCCTAATATGCGCGCGTATCATACTGCGCATGCCTATAGCCATTCAGAATATGGAAGGAGCGCGGCAAGGTCAGAAAAAGTAGGCTCTAGCACTACAAATTTATAATATTACATGTATCTAATTGATAATTATGGAAATTACGATCGCGTTCGCGACAAATCCAACAGGTTGCCTTCACGCAACGTTCCTCTAGAGGTCGTTATTCCCGAGTTCTTGTTGTGCCCAAGGTCGCTATTCATGGGGTTTGATGGTACAGGCAAGTGAGGGTGAACATAGGAAATACTGACTGCTCAGGTAGTGTTCGATGCAGCGTAAGAAACACCGTTACACGGACCAGTAGAAGATAGCAAACCGTCCGCTGGAACTCCTCCGTCACTTTTTCTTCAGCTGATGCAATCCGTCATGATTCGGTTACGTACAACCGCAGATGTCCAGTCAGGATGGCCGAGCGGTCTAAGGCGCCAGACTCAAGGTCTTGTGTACCTTCTGCAGTCAATGCAGATTGGGAGCCTTCTGGTCCACGTATGTGGGCGTGGGTTCGAATCCCACTTCTGACAAGACATTTTTTGAACTTTTTTCAAGGAATCATTTTTTGCTGTTCCTCTCACATGATACTTTCGTCCCGATGAAAAAAAAAAGAAAACCGGGAATGACTCTGGAGCCGAGATAGAAGAGCTTTTTCAAGGTTGTACCAACGGTCACTTTTTGGTAGGGGTCACGTGCGAGACATTTTTGAATCGGCGGTGAACAGGCGAAGCCCAGTTCACGTTCACTTTGTATGGGAATGGATGCGTGGAGGTGAAATTGAAAGCAGTAGATTGGCGCTCCACTTGATGTCCGACACTCGTCACGGTTGAGTCAGAGCAGTTGCCAGGAAGCCCTTCCATGGTTTGGGCGAAAAAGAACAAGCTGCAAAATCGCTCCAAGCGCTGGTGGGGACGAACCTGTCACATTTTGTATACGTAAGTTTTCAATGCATTTTGAGTTTTTGACATGCGACCTGTTCACCACAATCTCGGGGTGATCGCCGGGACGGTGGCGGGAAAGCCGCGGCGTCCTTGAAAAAGCTCTATAGCAAGAGAACAAAAATCTGAGTGTGCAAATCCGCAGCTGGTCTGGTCCATGGTGGAACTCTGCTGTTGATGTCAACTTGATAAGAATGCACGTCGTACAAAATCATACACGAAATGCGCTGAGCACCGCGACCTCTACCACAAATTCGTGCTTTTTCCGTTTTCAAAAACTTCACCTTTTCTCCTGCTGATGTAGCTTTTTATCATAGTGCAAGCTAAACAGATGTGAAACCCAGGCAACTTAACGCGTCCACAGACTCGAAAAAGATACGGCATTGATGTTACGGGAAAGCTGATACTGCAGCAGTCACTGGGTGGATACTGGAGGTGTTCTGTCTGAGGTCATCATTGCGACACGTAAAATTGTTCATTCGTGTCCAGTCAGGATGGCCGAGCGGTCTAAGGCGCCAGACTCAAGGTCTTGTGTACCTTCTGCAGTCAATGCAGATTGGGAGCCTTCTGGTCCACGTATGTGGGCGTGGGTTCGAATCCCACTTCTGACAAAGACATTTTTTGCTCCTTTTTTTTCAAGGAATCGTCTTCTATTTTTCCTCACCCTAATGCTTTTATCATGATGGAAAAAAGAAGATCAAGGGTGCGTTTGGTTGGTACGATCTAGAACAGGATCGAACAGCTGGTGCACATGGAGCAGCCTCATGCCAACCAAACGCTACTCCAGAAACAGAGCACATTTTTGTGGAAAAATGTGCCAAACTTTGTGCATTCTTCAAAATGTGTATGGGCCACCATGGTCACTTTGTACGGTACGACGAGTCCAACCCAAAAGCGTATGCACGTGATCATTTGGGACCAAAATCGATGTTCCCGCCAGGTTTCACTGTGAAAAAGTGAAACTGCTCGGTCTGCTCCGGCCTCGAGGCCGGAGCAAGCAGAACATGTTCTGGCCGACCCAGAACAGGTGCAGTCCCAACCAAACGCGCTGTTCTGGTGAATCCTGTTCTAGTTCGTACCAACCAAACGCGCTGTTCTGGTGAATCCTGTTCTAGTTCGTACCAACCAAACGCGCTGTTCTGGTGAATCCTGTTCTAGTTCGTACCAACCAAACGCGCTGTTCTGGTGAATCCTGTTCTAGTTCGTACCAACCAAACGCGCTGTTCTGGTGAATCCTGTTCTAGTTCGTACCAACCAAACGCGCTGTTCTGGTGAATCCTGTTCTAGTTCGTACCAACCAAACGCGCTGTTCTGGTGAATCCTGTTCTAGTTCGTACCAACCAAACGCGCTGTTCTGGTGAATCCTGTTCTAGTTCGTACCAACCAAACGCGCTGTTCTGGTGAATCCTGTTCTAGTTCGTACCAACCAAACGCGCTGTTCTGGTGAATCCTGTTCTAGTTCGTACCAACCAAACGCGCCCTGACTGTTCATAGAAAAGAAACACGACCAAGGAACTTAGGGGGCGTTCGTTTTTGATCTACAGGTTTGGGTAGAAACTACTTCATTCGGTAGAGGTGTTTGTTTTTCGAAAAAAATTCTACTCAAAAGGGTAGATTCTACTTTCCTCTACCGGCTCTACCAAGAAAAAGTTGGTAGACTCCGGTAGAAGTTGGTAGAGCTACGTCCAGCAAGATCAAGGATTTGTACACAACTCCATACAAAAAAAGGAACATTTCACGTACACATCGTGTAAACTACTAAATCCGGTAGAACAGCGTTCGTACACTTGCGTCTACCATCTACCTCTATCGGTAGAGTGACTCTACTCTACTCTACCAGGTAGCTAAAAACGAACGCTGCCTACAAGTTACGCTATAATGTCCACTAACACCACCAGTTACCGTAAACAATCAGCTCATGCGATAACATTGCATGACCTCTATAAATAGATGATATGCCAAATAAGCCCTCGAAAAGTTGAGAGGGCATGCGATTGATGCTCCCAGGCTTAGCTTGTCAAGTGCACTTGATGTGCAAAGTACACGGATTTTAGGCTTGTCGCGTGCTTATGTGATCAGGTGCTGCATGTGCATGAATGGAATGCATGCAGTTCCACCGTTACTAGTTTTAGCACTAGTGTTGCACTTCCTTCGGCGTTGAGATTACTGAAAAATTAAAGCTGTAAATCTGGATAGAAGAAACAGTTTTGCTTGCTTTATAGCGGCTGGAGTGATTTTTCGCTGTATTGTTTTCGGATGCCGACCAACCACGACCATTGCTGTGTTCCAGGATGTACTGGTGACCGGCGTTACTCCCCGGCCCCAGTAAATGGTATTCGTCTTTTCCATAAATTTCCATCATCCTGAACTGTGAAGGAAATGGACTGTTGCTATTCGAAGGGAGGAAAGAGAAGGAGAGTAAAGAAAAAGGTGACACTACAGTGGTGTGATCTGACCATTTCTTGCCAGAAGATTATGAACAAGGGGAGAAAATCGCCAGAGCAAGATTGGTGAAACATTTTTTATCTGGAGTTTTCAATCTGGTCCACCAAGACAACAGCGGCTGATGCTAACCGGCGTCGCTCTACCTCGTGTCGCGAGCTACTGCACAGGAGCTGCCTGAAGACATACGACTCATACCTAGTGATATCCCAGGCATACTGTCCCTACGCTGGAGGAAGCATTCGACAGTATTCAATGCAATCTGGGTGCTGCAAGAATAAAGTAGCAAGATTGAGCGAAATGACTAACAGTCGCATGTTTGGAGTTCTAGTATCCAGATTCAAAGACAAGGCATCATATCAGTAACCTTGCACAACACACTCATTAGACGTTTCAAGCGGAGTCTCAAGATAACATTTTAAAACTTTTGGCTACCCAGTAGCCACCATTTGTCACCGCCACAAAATATTCCAGTCGCCATCCATTATAACCTTATAATAATTATTTCGCCTTCTTTTTGCCTTGTTTTATAAATGTGTGCATGGCCGCCACAGCCCCCTCTTTGCAGATTTTCCTTTGTTTTTAGGTCAAATATTCACCCTACGCTGGCTACGGAAGCCTTGACCAGGGGATAGTACACCCTCGCTTTACCTAATGCTTCTTCACGACATGGCTTCTCTTTGCAAAACATACAGGTACCTGGTCTCTGATAGCTGGAGTTTTCTTCCATCGGGGTGCTGCTAGGCAGCCTCCTTTGTCATGCCGCAGAGGCTGCGTAGAAGGCTGTTATGTTATAACAACCTTCTACGTAACCTCCTTAGCATTATGTAATGGCGTAGTATGCAGCCCCGGTTTTTCATCCAACTTTTTTTACCCACTTACCTTGAGCACCCTGTAAAAAAGCGTATTGTCTGCAGGGATTCCTAGTAAAATAATAAACAATACAAATAGAACAACTCCTATTTGTGCTGGCCCTGACTAATAGCGAAAGCACATGAGAAACTGGTTGCCTGGAGCAATGACGGAAGAAACGCTGATGTGATCTCACTCGGGTGAGCGATGAGGTGAAACCGCGAAGCAGTCAGGGTCTTGCTTCTCAGCCTATGCCATATGCCGCTGCCAATCTGCTGTTGGGTACGGCGCTCTATTGCTATTGCCTCTGTTAGGAGCACCTTCTCTGTGATGTGGGATAAGGAAGGCGGGATTTCCCAGTACAAAGGCAAATCAATGTTGCCAGTGTCAGTATGCCCAGGTGGTTGATAAGGGGTTTTCATAACTACGTTACTTGGCCCTTGGGCCCCATTGCTGTTGTTGCTAGGTTGCATATGCCAGATATTGACCTTTCATCTCACAATAGTTGAGGGTCAGCAGCGATGCAACAATGACTATGTGGTGGAAGGAGCATGCAAGGCTGCAGTGCAAGTGCAATGTGCAGACATCACTTCGAGTACATGCTTTTCTCTAGTTTAGCACTGTAGCACACACTTAGCTCTCCTTCTTCTTCTTTTGAGATGCCCAACACTTAGCCTTGACAAAGTATCTCTGCGGTCCAGAATTATTTGGCTCTGGTAAGCAACACTCAACACTTTAAACGAATGGCGAGAAGAAGGACTCATCCCCGAATGGTTTCTGTGTCATTAGGTACCTTTCTCGATTCTGAAGATGCTGGAGTACAGCACTAGCAGAAACACCACATAACGTTAGCTAATCTTCCGAGCGATGGGTCCAGGCCTCGGCGGGAAATTCTGCGTCTGTTTGTTGAGCAGCATCTATGATTTGATGGAATCGCCGGAGAAGCAGCTTCTTCTGTTCCCGATGCAGATGGTGTCAAGGTATTCGCTGCTGTAGCGACCAGTGAAGGAGGAACGGATTTTCATCGCCCTTTCGCTGCTCGGCGCCGACTGCCATCATTGTCCCCTGTCCTAGGCTCTGGGGCGTTGGGAATAAAATAAAATCTTTCGGTCTTACCTTTGCTACAAATCATCTCGCTTTCCATCTACCGGTATCTCTCCCTCACGTAAGTCTTCAGCTGAGCAAAAGTCCATCTAGCAATCGTTTCGCCCACAGGTGGGTTCGCAAAACGAGAAGCAATTGCTGGTGTACAATTTCTTGCTGCCATATCCAGGTATCAAAATGAAAAATTGAAAGCAAACTATGCACAAAGGTGTCAGAGTTCCTTTTCTCCATCCGAAAATTTTCTCCAACGGAATGCTAATATGCGGTAACAGTGGAACTGCATGCATTCCATTCATGCACGTGCAGCACCTGATCGCGTAAGCGCGCAACAAGCCTAAAATCCGTGTACTTTGCACATCCCGTGCACTTGACAAGCTAAGCCTGGGCGCATCAATCGCATGCCCTCTCAACTTTTCGAGCGCTTATTTGGCATATCATCTATTAATCCTTGGCTCTCTATCCGAGTCCATTCAAGAATGACTGTAGCTGGGATGTTAATCTGAGTGTGTAGATCTGCAGCTGGTCTGGTCCATCGCAGAACTTCAAGTTGCTGATGATGTCAACTTTTTCAAAACTCATGTCATTCAAAATCCCACAAAACATGATGCCCTGTTAAACAGACATGAACCCAGCCAAGTTTTAACCCTTCCACAGACTCGAAAAAGACACAGGGCCAGCGTTACAGGAAAGGTAATACTGCGGTCCCCTGGAAACCCACCAGTACGTGGAGGTGTTTTTGTGTGATGCAGTCATGATGAAATAATATCCTAACTTGTATGTCCAGTCAGGATGGCCGAGCGGTCTAAGGCGCCAGACTCAAGGTCTTATGTACCTTCTGCAGTCAATGCAGATTGGAGCCTTCTGGTCCACGTATGTGGGCGTGGGTTCGAATCCCACTTCTGACAAGACATTTTTTTTACTCTTTTTTTTTCAAGCCATTGCGCAGGTGATGTAACGGCACTCCTTCTGGAGTTCAGGAAATCGCTCACACTTTCCAAGACTGAAGATGTTTGGAATGGACGTGCTACATAAACGTGTAACTGAAAAACATGGGCAGCAAAAAGTAGTCGCAAACAACTCAATCTGTCGTTATATGCCAGGTCGTTATTTCCAATCTCCAGTTTGGATCTCAGACCCAGACTGTTATGTTTTTATTCAATACGAAATTACCGGATCATTGGTTGTTGAACAAATGGCTGGGGGACAACAATTTTAAAAGTGGTTGGTTGCCACGGCTTCTTCTCATTCTCACTAGGAGATGTATAAATATAACTTATAAATAATTTTAAATATATAAAGTGCAATCAGCTCATTGGTTTTGTTCTCCGCATCGTATTTGTGTTTGTGTAGACGGGGGATCAGCGCTCGAGACCGGAGAGCGTCCGTCCTCGGTGTACAGCTGTTTGCTAAGTCACCACCCAGACAGCAATCGTCGGACGGCGAAGTGAAGAAAGCCGTCTTCAGTGCAAGCAGCGTCGAGGACGGCGAAGGTCACGTCACGGATAGTCCACGCCATCTCCAGCATAATCAGCATCACACAGAGCGGCAGCAGCAGGAGGATCACACACGCAATGCCAGCACGGGCACTGACGGTGTGGAAACAGACGGTAACGACGTCGTCGAGTCCAGCGGCACGTTTGAGATGCGATCACCACTGCAGCATCGCATTACCGATGTCGACATTGCACAGGTCCGGCTACGGTAAGGGACAATGCCTACACCGCTGCAGAAACTTTCTAATTATAATTTGAATAAGCCGACACCTAACTCATGTCATTTCCTGATGATGGTTATTTTATGACCGAAACGTTGAATTTTTTTCCGGAAATGAATTTGTGAAAAGCAGTGATTGAGTGTGAGCCAGTGTTGCTCACAAGTCAATTTTTACCTATACTAGGCTACAGTCATGTTACATGTACTGCTAAGTGAAATCCAATCGTGTGAATAAGTACTAAGCGCCGGGAGTTGCGCAGCTCTCTAGACCTGTGAGCACTGGGCTGTTAAATTATGCAAGGTGCAAGCTTGACCCGTGCGACCAGATTTCATCATAGTTGAGCAGCACTGTAGCTACATGTATGCGCCTGGTTGTGATGACGCCGAGACCCAAGGTCGGCAGAGCATCCCAGACCACGCCACCCGGGCACTCCCCTTATTCATGGCTCACACATGACGGGTTTACGTGGCTCTAGTAAAAAAAAATGCTGAATACCTAGCTAGTGATAGTGTACTTTGTTCACGGTCCTGTTAGGGGTCAAGGTCCTGTTAGGGGTCAAGGTCCTGTTAGGGGTCAAGGTCCTGTTAGGGGTCAAGGTCCTGTTAGGGGTCAAGGTCCTGTTAGGGGTCAAGGTCCTGTTAGGGGTCAAGGTCCTGTTAAGGGTCAAGGTCCTGTTAGGGGTCATCGCGAAAGTTTTCTGTCGTCCCTGAAACGAACATCGTTCATTTCGTACTCGGACCCCTCCCCTCCCTCTGAAACGCACACAGCTTGTTATGCTGGACGACGAAAATCGCATGTATGTACATGTCGTATGTACAGTGTCGGTCGACTTGCGATTTTGGCTCGCACCCCCTCCCTCCCCCCCCCCCCCCCCCCCCAATGAATCATGTTCGTTTCAGGGACGACAAAAAACTTTTGCGACGACCCCTTAGCTTTAGTCCCTTTTCACACATGCCATGAGAAAGGCGGGGGGGGGGATGCTGATGTGACCATGTCCCACCCACCATGCATACTGTAAATATACAAATTTTCGGCAGCTATTTAATTTCGGCTATATTCGGCACCGACCCAAAACGCCTAAATTAAAACGCCGATGAAATTTTTCACAGCATCTGTCGCACTATACCATGCCCTCTACCCCACGCCGAAAATAAATCGCCGCCGAAATGTCAAAAATCGTGAAGTGCCGAAATTTTGCAGCGCCGAAATTTTGTATATTTACAGTATTCAGATCCCGGTTGTCCGAATCCCCGATTACCCGAACCCTGAATATCCGAACCCTGGTGTGTTTTTGTGCAATGTGTGTGTTCGTGCGTGCACATGTGTATGCACGTATACGTGTGCGCGTATGCCTCTAAACCTCCATGTGTGTTTTAACTTTCGTGCATGTTTGTGTCTACTCTCCAGGAAACACGCTGCCCTGACAAAGAAGCGCTCTCTCCCTCTCTACCTACACCGAAAGGAGCCGGGGGACGACGACGATGAAGATGACGACGACGAGGAGGAGGAGGATGACGGAAACGAGAGCGACTTTGGCTACTTGCCTGGCGACGAGCCGCTGGGTAACAGTGGAAACAGTGGCAGTGGTGATGTGGTGATGAGCAGAAACAATCGACACAGCGGCAAAAGAAACAACAAAGGTGTAAGTACTATGAGTCAACAAATATTCGGCGCGTATTTATTTTCGGCTATTGTTCGGCCTGGTCACATTTGACCGAAAATTTGGTGCAGCCGGAATTTTGTTTTTATTATTATTATTTGCAAGGTTGAGTGTGACAGTGCATACAGTGCATACAGTCAGCTGCAATGCAGGCCGAAAATGTGATGCAGCCGAAATGTGTTTTAGCCCCGGGAGGCCGAAATTTGAATGGGCCGAAAATGTGTAGACTTACGATATGATGGTGTGATTGCGGTGAACGAAATCCAGGGGAGCAGTACCGGGATTTCTGATGGTCCGGCCAAATGCGATACTTGACCGGGAATGACTATCATGGACCAAGAACACCCGTTTGGCACTAACTGGGGGGAGGGAGCAAAAATTTCTAAAGTCTAACCAGCCGGACCGGGTCTTAAGGCCCTGAACCTGGTGGTAAAGAGTCCAGGTACAGTATGTACAGCAGATTCTGTCTCAACACCCTGCAGAAGTGCCCAGTTTCTACCATGCAAACGGCTCAACCCATTGTTTTGTGTATGAACTATGACCGCCGTGTGATGCCGTAATGCCTTTCTGCATCGCGGCAGGAACTGCTTAGGAGTTCGCTGTATATGAGTTCGCCACCCCTACCACCTAAACACACAACCCAGCGACGGCCTCTTCATACTCATGCAGTGTGTGTATGCGTGCGTGCGTGTTTGTGTGTTTGCCCGCCGTCCATACACAGGATCTTCACAAGACTGGCGGCGGCGCACCACACCCGGTCATAGCACAGCTCAAGGACATGGACTACAAGGTGGTGAACGGACGCATCGCCAGCTTCGGCTCCGCCATCTCCGACGACGTGTTTGCCGAGACCTCGCCCAACGCTACCTCTGGTAAGGGTACGGTCGGCTGCTCCGAGTTCACGGAGATTTGCCCGGGCGTCGGCTCGGATCAGCAGCAGGTACCCGCCGAGGACAGGTGGTTTGAAAGTCCCTAGAACCAGTGGAGCAGCACTCATCTTGGGCATACGGCCTCTGCGTGGCACGGTCATCATCATCGTCATCGTCGTCGTCGTTGATGTCATCATGAAAAGCCACTTTTACGGGCAAAACATGGATCCAATTGCAATACATGGAGCAGACTACGGAGCGATGCAGTGAAGCTACGACGCCATCATCATTAGATAGCAGAGTGATGTTTGATTCATGCCGTGACTTACCAGCACTGCCTGTCTGAACTGAGACGGTTTTTACTTCTAACCGCACTGTGCCGTCCTGCAGCGCCGATGCCCACTACATGTACCGTTAGACCGGGCTGTCAGAGGAGGTCTGAGTATTGCGGCTAGAGGTCAGGCAAACCAGTCCACTGTGCGTCATTCTCTTCGGACGAGTTTTCGCTTTCATACTCGTCCGACAAATTCTACGGGCCACTCTCTCTCTCTTTTAATGGATCTTTCCTTTCACTCGTCATCTTTCCGCTTATTCTCTCTCTGGTATTCCATGTTGAAGAGAGCTTTACATAGCACACTCCATTTTCTTACTCCTCACTCTGGTATACACGTTGTGACTGTTTTCTCAGCCGCTGTCGCACAGAACAACGCCCTGGCATGATACACTGGCCGGTTAGATACGTCCTGCTTGAGATGAGATCATCATGAGATCATCATGGCATCATCATGGTATCATCATGAAATCATTGCATCAGAATGACATCATAATGGTATGGTAGCTGGGTGTCGACTCGGAAGTTAGCTGAGTGTGATGTTCGTGCATACTGTGACGATGGTCACTGTCGGTGACCTTGAGTGATGGAGCAGGTCCCGATGGCATGAGCTATGAACTGCATTACAGCACCCCGGGCCACCATCAGTCGATTGCGTTCGCACTTGATCCTATGATTGACTCATTCTCTGACTCAAGACACAATGATCATACTTATTGGACTAGCCTGATCTATATCATTATAAAGTATTTGGTGATTATTATAGTTAGTTCGAAGTACTATACTCGCAGAGTTTACTCGTTGGAAAGCTTCAACATCCATGGCGGTGGATGTACCAATATACAACCCGCAACTGATGTGATCGTATTGCTGTGCGGAAGCAGCCAGTGTATTGTGATATCAAGTGAAACGGTGGCAGCTCATCGTTGGAGCCAGTGTCACCGTCACGGATTTCGTTTCAGTTGTTTTGCAGTGTGCCGGGACTGAGGTCACTGCACAGCCTCGTGACCGTCAGTCCTCCCGGTCACATTGCATGGATGGCTTGTGGCCATTCGGCCCCGGACTCAGTAACCATTCCTAGCAGCGTGCATCTGGGCCGCAGGACTGCTGGGCGTCACTCCGAGGCACCAGGCCCGGCAGTCTGAACCGGTCCGGTTGGCCGGTCTGGATAGTGCATGATGGCCGGACCAACCCGGTTTTGCCCACCGACGTGTGTTTGCTGCTGGCCCTTTTGGTCATGTGTAACCGCCCTATCATACTGTACACATCGAAGCAGGCGTGTAGCACAGCCTTTGGAGGTGGTCCGGCCGGAGGGGGCTCCGGGGGTTTCCCCGGGAAATTTTTTGAAATTAGGGTGCAAATCCTGTATTCTGGGCACTTTTTGCATTGTGTTAAAAAAAAGTGGTCAGGCCAAAGCCGGACCGGCTGCTACGCCCCTGTCAGAAGTACATTTGTATTAAAAGCTTGGGTATGCGGGCCGGACCAATCAAACCTCCTTCCGCCGGTCCCGGCTGGGCATGGCGTAATTTGTGTAGCGGGTGGCTCCCCAAGTAGCACTGCCGTAGTGGCTCAGCCCATTGATAACTATCTGTTGGCCCGGTAGCTAGTGTTATTTTCATGAGCAAGCAGACAGGGTGCACCACTGTCTTGGACTGCATGTACGGAGCCGGGCTATCGACCGAGTACTACAATTTTTGTACAGTCAGACCTCGCCACATCCGTTTTCCACAAAAATATTCGGATAGGCGAGGGAATCAGATAATCGAACACACACACACTGTATGTGTGCATGGCATGTGCTGTAAATCGGTGACCAACAATTTTCTTCCGGATGCCGGTGAGGGATCCGGATAAACGATGTCTGACTGTAGTAGTGGTTTCCTCACCTATCAGTATCAGGTTTGAGTACTACTGTTGGGTACAGTGTACAGTGTACATGTACTACCCTATCAGAATGGTGTGTCGGACTACGGAGCATGTTTCTTTCTAGTCTTCATGGCACATTGTTTTTTACCCGTGACTCCCTGCTTCAGCCCATACATTATGATATCAGGATTCGGTAGTCCGAAACTTTCTAAACTGAGTTCCGCAAATCCCAGCTGGATTGCAGAATTACGAGTGCTGAAACTTGAAACTCAAATTAGTTTGACCCATTTCGATTAGTTTTTCACTGCCCACCAGGGAGTAGTAAAATACCGGTGTTTTACTACTCCTCCTGACACTCACGGTCATGACGTCACAGCACGCATGTACCTAGATCGCGCACGCAGCACTACGCACCTCATCGATCCAGCTAGCTCGCGAGTCGCGGATCCCCGCGGAGTCGCCTCGGCCGAGCTCGGCGCGCGCGGCGTCTGTGCGTAGCATAAACACTTTTCAATTAATTTTTTGGAATAGTGTTTGTCAATTGTTCGGACGAGCTATTGTCAGTCTCCGAGCTCGTGAGGCAGAAGAGATATGGTGGCCACTAGACTGTAGAGAAGATGCGAGTGGAATCGCATGGGCTTCGATGCTGTGATCTCTCTCCCTCATGGCGCTGAGGCACACCCGGAGAAATCGACTTCTGCTATACGTCACAATTCTATTTGGACTCTATGTCGGGTTCGTGAGTATTGCTTCCAGGCGGATAAGCTCGACCAGACCGTGGGACGAGCCAAACGAATACTCACCAAGTGAAGTTGTTTACGAAGCACGGGCTGACAATGGTAAACACAGTCCTGATAGCGCCATGGCCGGTCGAAGCCCTGGAAATGCGAGTACGAGTCGAAGTGACACTTTCACCCATGGAACTATCGCAATCAGTAACAGTCTAGTAAATTCTCCTGGCGTGGCGCAGCAGACGGAGAGAGCAGTAGCTGGCACTTCTCGAGCACTAGCTACCTCTAAGGAAGTGGTCGGAAGTACCCGTGGTGTTTTAGCCCAATCCCAGACATCCCCTCCTAGCCAGGATGCCACTCTCTTGGAGACCTATAGTGTGAGCAAGTTGGAAGAGTATGTGAGGAACAACAATGAGGCTCAGACAATCTACAACGAGCAGCGATTCCCAATATCGCCGGAAGATCGCAAGGCCCAACTTGTGGTAGTGATACAGGTACGTTCACGTAAGAAAACATAAGAACACGTCATGTTGGATAAAAACAAGTTTTCGTTCAAGCTCCACTCATACATACATGCTTGAATACTCATTGAATGGAAAACTCTTGCCAGTAAAATCCAGAGCACAGGCAGCAGTTTTTTTTAACCAGGCCTTGTGAGGCAAGATACGAGAAAGTGGAAATAGAGCTTTTTCATGGGCACGGCGCCGTGCCCGTCAGCGGTGCTCACCCCGAGATTGTGGTGAACAGATCGCGCATTGAAAAATATACTTAAAAAGATGTGACAGGTTCGTCTCCACCAGTGCTTGGAGCGATTTTGAAGCTTGTTCTTTCTCGCCCAAGCCATGGAAGAGTTTCCTGGCAACATCTCTGACTCAACACAAGGGTCGGACATGAAGTTGAGCACCATCCTAGTGCTTCGCCTGTTCACCAGCGATTCAAAAATTTCTCGCACATGATCACGAAAAGTGACCGTTGATCCGTCCTTGAAAAAGCTCTATTGTGAACTAGAATGCAAGGCAATACAGTACTCAGACGCACCCCCCCCCCCCCCCCCCCATCATGAAAGCAAGTCATTCAACATACCAGTAATGATGGGTTGCCGACTCTTGCATTTCAGTTCAACTTTGTGATTTGTTCACAGCTTCCCTTGTGCAAAACGATTGTACGGAACGAAGCCCGGCGGAGCTGCGGAAATTTTCAAAGAAAAAAACCCCAGCGTGGAGCATTTGCACGCACTGCTGTACACAAGACCTGTCAGTGCAAGCGTGTGTGTGTGCCTGTGAATGAGACTGTGCATATCGCCGGCAATCCAGCACCATGCAGGTCTCACCGTTCGTACTGCTGTGACATCGTACTGCACTCGACGGCCTGGCTCGAATTCTCTCCCCGTGCGAATCCGCTGGGAAGCGACACAACGCGGCGAGCGAATGAACGGTATTTTGCCGTGCATGTAAACAGCACTATTCCCCGTACGTATACCAGCTACTGGTCTGTGTTTTGCTCCGTACGCACGTTTGTGTCTGCGTAGTTTGTGATCGTTGCCACCGCAGCTAGTTGGGAACTCGTGGCCTGGCGCGAGGGTAGCATGGATGCAGCGAATGGGATTTCCGGTCTTTGACTCATCTACTCACCTCCCACCGCTTTAGGAGCTGCATCTGCAACTTAATCCATAGAGAGTGGTGGCGTTCCTGCGGATGCGGGAAACGCAGTCTGACTTGCTCTCAGTTTCAAGCCTCAATCAAACCTTTTTTAAATTTTATATTTTATAGCAAAGAAAAGGACCAAGGAACTACAAGTTACGCTGTACTGTCCACGAGCACCACCAGTTACTTGACAATCAGCTCATGCGATAACATTACACGACACACTGGCACTTTTTGTAATGTTTTTTATATTTTTTTACTCACCGCAATGACCCCCACTGCTATTGTCTCTGTTGTCTTTGTGATTCTTGTTTTCTTGTTTCTTTGCCTCGCCACGCTATAGGTTCATGATCGGTACCGCTTTCTCCGTCATACGTTGGAAAACCTGGGCAAAGCACGCAATGTGGAATCCATTCTTCTCGTCATTTCTGCCGATTACGTCAGCAGCGAGCTCGTCAGTATAGTCCAGGGAGTGCTGTTCTGCCAGGTGAGTACACTGCTGCCAGGCTGCAGTGCTGTGTGTGTTTGTGGGGGGGGGGGGCATGTGTGTGCACGCATTGTCTGCTCTAGGATTTCAAACCAACTGGGTACACGTGTACCTGGCACAACTCTTGCAACCGGGTCAGAGCCGGGTACGTTCAAGTGCGGCTACTGCATGTGCATCAGGGAGCCGTAAAATAGGATTTTCACTCCCTGATGTGTATATAGCGTATGTATTCCCAACCGGATCCGGGTCACAAGTGACCCGGTGTTTATTCCAAACGGGTCCAAGTACCTCCCCCCCCCCCCCAACCAGGTCGCTGACCCGGCTCTGGAACAAACACTGTGCGTGGTTGGTAAAGTAACTCCGATTTCACTTCAAGGTGCCAGAGCATCTAGCGTCTGCTTCTATCAAAGCAACGTGCTGTCTATGGTGTTGCTGGTTACCCCAGCAAGTGTAGGGTGTGCATAGGTAACTGTCTTACCCGTTCTGTGCCGATGTACTCTGTGTCTGTCCGTCTGTCTGTCCGTCTGTCCATTTGTCTGTATGTTCGTCGGTCCATCCGTCTGTCCGTCCGTCTGTATGTTCGTTGGTCCATCCGTCTCTCTGTCCGTCTGTCTGTCCGTGTGATCATCAGGCAATGCTCGTGCTGTCCCCGCACACCATTCAGCTTCACCCGTCCTCGTTTCCGGGAACCGACCCAAAGGACTGTCCAGCACGCATAACTCGTGACCAGTGAGTAACACTAACAGCTAATGTCATTCTTGAAGACAGTGTGTCCTTAAACCCTTTGTGACCCCATCCATAGATATCGATTGATTGCAGGGTTCTAGCCAGGTAAAAATACGGTGTGTGTGTGGGTGGGGGGGGGGGGGGGGGACAGTTGCCCGTAACCCTTTTTTTCCATTTTCCGAAAATGTCTTGCCATGCCAAATTCAACGTGCGGTGCTCTCCCCAGACAGGTGTGCCTTTACGAACCCACTGTTTGTGACTATCGACTTCATTTTTCGTTGAATGCATTATAGCCTGAAAAAACACAAAGATCGGCAAATGAGTAGGGGACGCCACTTTTCCCGCAGGGGGGGGGGGGGGGGGGGGGGGTGCTGGCTGTTTTGCGGGTTCGATCATCTTTCCATGATTTCTTTTGAATCTCTCTTCCCTCTCCCGGTGGAGACCCACGTCACCAGGTTCCGGCAGTGAGCAAGTATGTGTGTGTGTGTGTGTGTGTGTGTGTGTGTGTGTGTGTGTGTGTGTGTGTGTGTGTGCATGTCTGTTTGTGGATGTGTGTTTGTGTGTGTGTGTGTGCATGCATGTGTGTATGCATATGTGTGCATGTGTATGCATGTGTGTACGCGTGTGTGCATGTGTATGCATGTGTGTATGCGTGAGTGTGCGGTGTGTGCACGTGCATGCACATGTTCCATGTGTGTTTGAAGGGCTGTGAACAGCGGCTGTTTAAACGCCCAACACCCGGACATGTACGGCCACTATCGCGAGGCTGCCTTCAGTGCCATCAAGCTGCACTGGTGGTGGAAAGCTTCGTTTGTCTTTGACAAGATCCGTGCGCTACACGATCACACCGGATGGGTACTCATGCTGGAGGAAGATCATCTTGTCTCGCCCGACTTTGTTGTGGTTATTGGTCTGCTTGATACCTTAGTTCGCAAGTAAGTACACTTGACTTGTGCTTGGTGAAATCCTACCCAAAGTGCATATCTGGCGCCCTCAACTCGCACGGCCCTTGATGCCCTGGAAGTTGTATGAACTATGATTATTATTATTATTTTTTTATAGCACTCGATCCTACTGATGATCTGGGATAACAGTAAAGTGGGACAGAAGACTAGGACAAATAGACAAAAGGGGTAGGTGCCAAAGCACCTCAACTGATAATGTAACCGCACAACCTCTTTACAAGTTTAGAAGGAAATGTTCTCTTATGTACTCTTGATTATGGCATGCTATGTTGTCAGATACCCTTAGTGTGGTGTAGTGACAGTGCTGCATCTCAACTAGTTACTTGCACTCCCTGTCCCCACAATACTCTGTCCTGTGTGCTGCACATCCAGACTGTTTCAAAGGAGAGGTGGCTTGCCAACTGTGCGCACTTCATCAGTGTGTGCCCGGCTGCTACAGTCCTTGTTTCCTTGACGACAACAAACATACTTCGTAGTGCACTTCACTTTGCCGGAGAGCACTCTTCGCTCTACCGGAGAGTTTCCAACCTGCGTACTGTCGTTCTCGTGTCTTGCTCACGTTTGTATACGTGCAGGGAAAGACCGTATGTGGACGTGATCAATATTGGTCGTCAGAAGCCAACCGGTCTCTTCCCGGGAAATGGTGTAGGTGCTGTGTAGCTTGTCCATAGGCAGTGAGTGGTGGTGGTGATGGTGGTGCTAGTGGTGCGGGTGATGGTGGTGGTGGTTGGTAATGGTGAGGGTGGTGGTGGTGAATTTTGATGTACAGTCAACTTCGCTTATAACGACACTCGGCGGGGCGTCAGAAAAGTGTCCTTATACCCGAAGTCTCATTCTATGTATTACAGTTGGATGGGACTTTGCTCTGGGCATGGAAATTCTGTCGTTATTCGCGAATTGTCGTTATATCCGCAGTCGTTATTAGCGAAGTTGACTGTATTGCATTTTTGCTTGCCTGTACAAGAGGCTGTTCCAGGGTGGTGGTGATGGCGTTGTTGTTTCTGCTGCTTGTTTGAGTGCACACACTTACACATTTCTATACGTATACTTGTTCAAATACAGTTGTGTCACATGGTGCCCATGAAGAAGTGGTCATGTCGAATCAAACTTTTTTTTCTTTTTCCACTCTCTCTCTCTCTCCTCTCTAATCTCTACTGTGTGAGGAAGCTGTACTAGTTACGTAGGTACAACTCTTCAGTCAGATATCCTTTCCGTGTGTACACTCTGGTGTGTGTAGGTGTGGGTGTGGATGGATGGGTTGGTGGGTGGCTGTGTGTGTGTGTGTGTGTGTTCGTGCGTGCGCGTTACAATCTGTAGTTCACCGATGTTATGTAACGGGTCCTTTGTGTCTACTTGTATATGTCTGATCTGTGCATGCTTTTGTTGGTACATGTGGGCTTGTCGTGGTATTTGTGTATAAACAACGGCTGCAGTTTACCGAGGAGGATTGGTTTTCCGTCTTCAACAACATGGGATTCGCCCTGCGTAAGCCAGCCTGGGAGACTCTTCGGAACTGCAGCAAGGTAGCTGTGTGTGTGCATGCGTGCGTGTGTGTGTGTTCACATGGCTTTCTCCGGTTGTGTGGATTGGTCAGTTATCTGGCGCTAGTCTTGATCTGTCTCATTCAGATCTTGTCCGCTATCGTTGCTATAAGAGAAAATCTGTCCGTGCACATCCAGTGCACTTGATTTGCGTGCTTCTCTTGCGATGGGCGTATACATGGTGTGCGTGTGTGTGTGTGCGCGCGCGCGCGCGCGCGCAGAGTGATTGTTCGAACCGATGGCAATGAAGTCCTATACCTACCAATCACATTATCATTGTGTGCTGTGTTGTTTAGACATTCTGTGACTACGATGATTACAACTGGGACTGGACTTTTCAGATGACACCCTGGCTTTGCAAACAGTACAAATGGAAAACTTTAGCAATGGTCATGCCACGTGTATACCATATTGGAACCTGGTAAGGCAACAGACATGTGATTGATTCGTGCCAAGTGCTGCAGTATTGATTGGTTGGGCTTTATGTGGTGGTCGGGTTTGTTTCCTCTCTCTCTCTCTCTCTCTATCTATCTATCTATCTATCTATCTATTAGGCACCGGCAGATTCTGCTCGAAAAGCAGTGAAATTGGCAGAACCATACAAACCTTATGGCGGGCAATTCCTCGAATTCTGCTCCGTTTCTTTATCCACACACCAAACATGCACGAAACTTACCAGAAAAAGTACCGAATTCTGCCAATTTTTCTGCCGGCATAATGCACTGGTGCCTACTATCTATCTCTGTCTCTCTCTTTCGCTCTCTCTCTCTCTCTCTCTCTCTCTCTCTCTCTCTCTCTCTCTCTCTCTCTCTCTCTCTCTCTTTCGCTCTCTCGCTCTCTCTCTCACTCTCTCTCTCACTCTCTCTCTCTCTCTCTCTTTCGCTCGCTCGCTCTCTTTCTCCGTCTGCCTGTCCAACTCCTAACAGACGTGCAGACATGTATAGACTTCTCGAGTATGCGACTTGCTGAGTTACAATAGGATGTGGACTGAAATGTCTCGATACTCTCCATGTTTTGTCAGCAGACACTGTTTGATTCTCGTATCTCTGTACTTAGCTGATAGAACTGTTTCATCCGTTGTGGACTCGACAGCGCAGCACAGAAAAAGGAGGTCGAACCTGATAGCAATGAAAAAATAAATTTTCCAAAGCCAGATTTAAAAACCATGTACCCTCTATCATGTGTGTGTGTTTGTGCCTGTCCGTGTGCTTCTCCACTCCAGTGGCATACATCAGAAGAAAGGGCAGTGCAAGCCAGACGAGGAGTCTGCAAAGGTGCTCAACATCTTCAAGACACGCTCCACCGAGCTGTTTCCCACGCGGCTGGAGTGGTCCGGGAGCACTCGACAGCGCACGATCACACCGAAGAAGCCGAATGGCGGGTGGGGTGACGTTCGTGACCACAACCTGTGCATGTCTATCGTCAGCTAACAGTGCGTGGCGCCGTCTGATGTGCTTCTCTCTGGCTGGGAGTCTGAGTGTGCTCACAATTCACCGTTGTTCCGTCGCCTATGCGCACGAGCAGCCGTGTGTTTCTTGTACCCGGGCATGGCCCAGTGGCCCCTAGCGTTGTGTTTGTCAACGTCACTCTGATCCGTCACCGCTGTGCCCTTGCCGTCATCGTTGTCGCTGTCACCGCTGCCACTGCTAGTCTGCGTGACTGCGTGCATCCATGCTGGTATGCTGTACGTGTTCTGCTACTGCAGGCCTCCCTCTCCTAGTGCATTGCCTCCCTGTCCTAGTGCAATGCCTCCCTGTCCTAGTGCAGGTCCTCTGTGTCCTCGTGCCTTGGCTCCCTGTCCCAGTGCAGTGGCTCCTTGTCCACTCCTAGCGTGGCGTGTTCCCAGCTGAGTCAAGAGGCGCTGACGTCACTCTTCGTTGATTGCCACAGCGTAGAGGCTCTGAGGCGTTGTCAGTGGACAGCTTTCCTGGTTGTGCACCGTGTTGCTCTACCTTCCTGCAGGTGACAGTGTTTGTATGTTTGTCTCGCAGCGGCTTGACTACATGCTGACCTACGTTTACAGCGCTGCTGCTGTTGGCGTGTAACACTATGATGCCAGCATCGCTGTGAGCCGACGGTTACTGCCATCCGCTGCCCATCTCACATCCCTCCGCAAAATCACCTCCACTGTGAGCAGGCTGGATTTCTTCGTCATGTGTTCTGCTCGTGGTGGGGTGATGATGTCATCGTATTACGTCATACTTTATCGTCTTCCGTCTGGACCTAGCATATCAAGTATTCTATCCGCAAGCAGCCTTCGTCACGTGTTCCGCTCCTGGTGTTGGTGATGATGTCATCACATTACATCATACTTTATCGTCTTCCGTCTGGACCTAAAAAAAATCACGGTTCGCGTGAGACTCGGCTGGAAGCCCAGTTTTCCGCATCCGTCATGGGAACGCCACCATCCGTCTGGACCTAGCATATCAAGTATTCTATCTGCAAGCATTGCCAAGCAGCCTTCGTCACGTATTCTGCTCCTGGTGTTTGGTGATGATGTCATCGTATTACATCATACTTTATCGTCTTCCGTCTGGACCTAGCATATCAAGTATTCTATCTGCAAGCAGCCTTCGTCACGTGTTCTGCTCCTGGTGTTGGTGATGATGTAATCACATTACATCATACTTTATCGTCTTCTGTCTGGACCTAGCCGCTATGGTATCAAGTAGCCTAGTTGTGCTGCTGGTAATAGTATGGTCTCTATCTCCGCTGCTGCTGCTGGACATTAGCCCCTAAACGATGCGTGATGTCATCATGTAGTAGCATATGACATCACTCGTGTTAGTGCCATGACGTAATGTGCTGACAGCGACACAAGCTAGCAGGTGGCGGCTTTTTGACTGGCACACTCGCCCTCCTGGCATAGCCTATAGCCAGTATAGGATATAGAGGTAGTTACATGTAGATTGTGTCGGGCGTATTGTGCGTGCGCGTGTGTGTGTGTTTGATTTGCTACCTTTCTTTCTCCTGTTAGTGTGTGTGTGTGTATGTGCGCGCGTGCGTGTGTGTGTGTGTGTGTGTGTGTGCGTGCGTGCGTTTCTTAGCAGGGTTCTTGATGTATTCGGTGGTGCACGCTGGAACTTTTGTACTTGATAATACATGTACCTACGAGTGTGGGCTGATGGAGACCTCAACACTGATACAGAATTGCAAACAAATTTTTTAATTGTTTTCAGTTCTACTGATTGTATTTATTTAATTACAATTACTACCACCGCTTCAAATTTTTCCAATTTTTTGACCACCGCTTCAACCATACTCATTTTATAAAAAAAAGAACAAGTTAATTGACTTCTTGCAACTGCATCATTTAACCATGCTCCTCACCAAATCTTTACTGATCATGTTTTTCTTCACAATGGCGAATGACTTGTCTTATAATGAAAATAGAAGAAATCCCATGGAAACGAGTTATGGAGCAACTATCCACGACTGTAACAAGATAATAAGCAGCCGGAAAGTGCGATAACAGGGCACAAAACTGACACGTTAATGAGGCATTCAACGACCTGAGACCTAGCTCTCACACCCCTCCACTGTGTTACTTGTCTTATCCTCAACAATGGTTTCAAGAATTTTCTCAACCAAATGTACTTTTGCAGAGCGATTTCTTGGGTCCTACCGTTACACGGTAGGACGGCATGCAAGCTAACCAGGTGTGATAAAGATTACTCCACTGGTGTTTTTACTGCTCCCTGGAACTGCATCCTTTCTGCACAGGCACGCGCACACACACACACACACTTGGGGAAACATAATCCATTGTGTTTCTGATTGTGCCCGCGAAGAGGCTCCACATACGTGTGACACACATAATAATAATTATTATGCAATGTGCACACACACACTGACACACTGACACGCAACCACATAAACACAAGCCGAGTGTGCGTATGTGTACTGACAGCACCCTCTTCAAAAGTAAGTACTACTAAAGTTAGTTCTGAAAAGGACATCAAAACAGTCTCTACACTACGTATACAGCAAGTTTAAAGTTACTTTGAAGCACCATCAGATGAAGAAAACGACATCAGTACTGCATGTGTAGCATGGCTACTTTATGACACGTAATTTGTATACGCATAAATAGTACACCGTAGGAATGCATGGATAGGCTGTGCGCATACTCGCACTGCCTTGTCTTCTTCTTCTCCTTGTGTGAGACAATGAACGAATATTGATAACTACTTACGTAACAACAAGTATGTTCTTTGAGTGCTGAGACTGAGAGTATACGAGTTACAATGGTGGCAGCGGAAAAATAGTCGTCGGTTTTGTCCTCGGCTGGGAAGACGCCTCCGCAGGAGAGACAAGTTGCAGAGTCGACAAGTTCCAGAGAGTCTGAGACCAGTTCCAGCTACTCGGGAGACCAGCCCACAGACTAAGTTCTAATTTACTAGTATTGCTCATTCTATCCTTCGTCTCGTTTTCCATTCTTTACTTCTTGACTGATCGTTCGCTGTGCATGAGTAACAGTTTTGTTTGGTGTAAAAAGGGCTAGAATTTTCACTACAATTATTTTTGCACATAGTTCTACGTGGACGTGGGTGTGCGTGCATACTTACAGCTGCCCTGGCCTTGGTCTTGTACTTGTTGTAGTACTACTGTACTAGATTGTGCATGCATGCACCTGCATATGACGTAACTCCATGATTGTACATGTACATGCAGTACTTACTACTTGTGTAGCTAGCTAGCTAGGTAGACCTACGCACTACGTAGCTTGACACATCACGGATTCACGGTACGGGCCGTGCCGGCGGGTAGGCCGCGAGTGACGTTTGCATTGCAGGTTTTTTTTTTGTAGAATTTTTTTTAAATTTTGAACTTGATCTCGAACGCAAGATGGGCAAGTCGAAAAAGCAGACACGGTCACCTAGTCCATTGTCATTCGAGATGTATGACAAGCCTGCCAGTGCCTCAGCCTTACCGAGACCAATCCTGTTACCCGAAGTATTTGGTCGTGCTGGAAATGAAGATTTTTCGGCCTACCTCAAACATTTTAACGATGCATGCCACCTGAACGGGTACAGTGAGGAACAAAAACTATTGTTATTACCCACAAGACTCGTAGGCACGTCCCATGAACTGCTGGAGACCATTCTCCTATCTGATGCAGACGTTTCGTTTCATGACGCCGTTGAAGCGCTCCGCAGTCGCCTGGAGCCACCACAGCAGGCCCAAATGCACGAAGCGGCTTTACGCCAGCGCCTGAAACTCGACCATGAAACGCAGTATGCATATGCCATGGAGCTCCGCCGCCTTGCTGCCAAAGCATATCCAGGCCAACAGGGCCCGTTACTAGAATCGATGCTGCTGCAGATTTTCATCGATGGTCAGCCAACAAAAGATATGCGCCTGGCTCTGTCGTCGCCACGACCAGCAAGCATTGAATTGGCGGTCCAAAAAGCAATTGAGGTCTCGGCAATCTACGCCAGGGAACAGAGCCGGATGCCTGTAGAGTCTCACTTCACTCAGGCTGTACATGTAACTGGTGACTACGATGGCTCGGCCTGCGCCGCGTTGCCGTTACGCAGCCAGCCTGGCCCATCACCAGCTGTACCCCGTGCTTCTGTTGCCAAGGCAAGTGCGTACGACGCTGGAGAGCGTGATCGACTGGCCCAAGTGCTTGAGAAGTTTGATTCAAGAATGTCAGATCTTGAAAAGAGACTCGGCCGTTTAGAAATAATTGTCGCTCCGCAAACACCAGTTACTGCAGGAGCAAGTCCCGATGGCCAGTCTCGTGTCAGTGGACGTGGTCGTGGACGGGGACGGGCGTATGGTCGTGGTGGTCGCGATGAACCGCCGATTTGTTTTGGGTGTGGACAACCTGGCCACTTTGCTGTTGATTGCCCACACAACCCTTGGCGCTCGGGAAACTGAGTACGACTGGTGGTGTGGGACAACTCCCAGTCGTCCACGAGGAGCCATCAGATGAGGCGCGAATCGAAGCTGTCTCATCTGTCGTCCCGACCCTAGACCTCAATGTTGAAGGCAAGAGCGTAACTGCACTAATTGATTCTGGTTCATGTGTTTCTTTGTTGCATGAACAAACATTATTGTCCACGTATGGTGATGTGCCTTTGCAAGCTGCTCCCCGTTTGTGTGCGGTGAATGGTGAGGGACTTCGGGTTCTGGGTGCTGTAGATATCGAATGCTGCATTGGAGGGTGCTCATTTTTGCATGCATTTGTAGTGTCCCCTGATATCCGCCGTGATATGATCTTGGGATCTGATTTCTTGTTTGACCATGGAGCATTACTGAACATTGCTCAAGGCACCTTAACTTTTAAAGACCTGTCAGTCCCGTTAGGAGTGAAAGCTACCAGTTTTGGTCCATCGGAACCTAGTCCGGCCGTTGCGGAGGACCCGGCGCCAGTATCTGACTCTTGTGTTAGTGATAGTAATTCTCAGGAAGACCTGAGCACGTACTCTTCTCGTGTCACTGTTGGTCGTGCATTAACTCTGCCTGCCGGCCATGTAGTGTTGGTGCCGTGCATGTCTGTGCAAGAGGCACCTGTAACTGTGGACTGTGTTGCTGATCCACTTGACTCATTCTTGACAAAGTTTCCAGATGTGTCTGTGACCCCCGGTGTGGTTACGGTTGGACCTGACAGGTCCCGTGTGGTAGTTGTGTTGGAAAATCACTCTGACCACCCAGTGCTTCTTGCTAAAGATGTTAACATTGCCGAGTTATCTCCTGTACCCGAGGACTTCATTGTCGAGGATAATGATCCTACTGTTTCGTCCGTTGCGGATACGCCACCGCTTGTGCTATCCCCTGAACGTGCCGAGGTAATCCGTACATATGTTGACTCTCAGAGTCATCTGTCAGTACCTGAGAAGAGCACACTTACAGAGCTTCTCCGGGAGAATCATGACTTGTTTATCTTGCAGGAGGGTGATTTTGGTCATTGTGATGTTTTCCCACATCGTATTAGTACTGGTGAGACAAAGCCAGTTAAGCAGCCTACGCGTCGTGTACCCTACCACCGCCGGCAGGCTTTACAAGCTTTGCTGGATGATCTGTTGGCCCGTGGTATAATCACAGAGTCTATTAGTCCCTGGGCGTCACCCATAGTTCTCGTTCCAAAGAAGGACGGATCTCTTCGATTGTGTATCGACTACCGCAAGTTGAACAGTGTTACGGAGCCAGATGCGTACCCCATCCCACGAGTTGATGACATGCTAGACTCACTCTCCGGCTGTTCCTGGTTCACTTGCCTGGATTTAGCTTCAGGTTATTGGCAGATCGCTATGGACGAGGAAGATAAGGCCAAGACTGCCTTTACCACACCGTTGGGTTTGTTCGAGTTCTCCGTGATGCCAATGGGATGTCGAAATGGTCCGGCAACTTTCCAGCGTGTGATGGAAGCGGTGCTTCATGGCTTATGCAATGTGCCGACCCAGCCATTCTGCCGCGTTTTCTTCGACGATGTGCTGAATGCCAGTTCTACCTTGCCTGGACAGCTCCAGATCCTCAAGTCGGTGTTTGACCGCGTTCGTGCTGCTGGACTGATGTTCAACTTGAAGAAATGTTCGTTCTTCCAACGGAAAGTGCTCTTCCTCGGTCATCAGGTTTCGGCTGACGGATTGGCTCCGGATCCGGCCAAAGTTGAAGCTATCGAGCAGTGGGCTGTACCGAAGTCAGTGAGAGATGTACGTGTGTTTCTGGGTTACGCTGGGTACTACCGTCGGTTCATCCGTGGCTTTGCTCAGCGCTCTGCACCCCTGACTGCTCTATCAGGGAAGAATGCCAGCTTTATGTGGACAAAGAGTTGTGATGCGGCATTCACCTCTCTGAAACGGTCACTGACAACAGCCCCCGTGTTGGCGTATCCCGACTTTTCTGTTTCGTCTGGCGGCTTTATTTTGGACACTGACGCTAGCAAGGTGGCCATTGGAGCTGTCCTCAGCCAAATGCAAGATGGCGAGGAACGCCCCATTGCGTTCGGCAGCCGGGTCTTGACGAAGGCAGAGAGGAATTATGATGCCTCAGACCGGGAAACGCTTGCCCTTGTCCATTTCGCGAATCAGTTCCGGCACTATTTGCTTGGCCGGAATTTTATTGCTCGCACAGACAACACTGCCCTCACCGCACTGATGTCCGTGAAGGAACCACGCGGTCGAAAAGCTCGATGGGTGGAGCAACTCGCTGAGTACACCTTCACTACTGTTCACCGGCCGGGTCGGCAGCACTTGAATGCAGATGGTCTGTCGCGTTCCTTGTTGCCGGAGGTGCAACCCTCCCATCTCGAGACTCCCGCAAATCAGCCAGAGCAAGCTAGTTCCTCTGCCACAACGGCGTCTGTGGATGTCGCCACTCCTGTACTAGCTGGTCTCTCCGCACCTGAGTTGGCCGCTTCCCAAGCTGTGGATGTTGATCTATCAGTGGTCTTGTCATGGTACAAT